GTGATTATTTTGGGACTGAGCTGTCGGGCAGCAGGGAAACAAACGGCCTTACTACAACAGGCCAAGCTGGACTCCAACTCAGAGATCCGCCTGCCTCTGCCTTCTGAGTGCTGGTATTAAAGGCGTGCACCACCACCGCCTGGTGACTTTTTTTTTTTTTTTAAAGAAAGGGTTTCACTCTGCAGATCATGCTGTCCTCAAACTGAACTCATTAGCCTTATGAATGCTGGAATACTTTCACTATCTACTTTTATAGTGCTAAACAATTTTTTAAAAAAGAACACTCAGGAAGCACCTCCCCCATTGATTTTTGAGCCTTGTATATGCTAGGCAAGTGTTCCTCAACTGAGATCTACCCATAGCCCTTAATTCAGGGTCTCATTGTTATCCAGGCCAGCCTTGGAATTAATTTGTGGCCTCGGCAGACCTGTACTTGTCATTATCCCTGCCTTGGCCTCCTATGTCACCAAGTGCTGCTTGGAAGGTGTAGAATGGCTCAAGAGTCAACGTAAGACTGTCCAGAGCACCAGGCTTCTGCTGCAGCCCCTACCTCTTCGCAGTCCTTCAATTTGCTTTTCAGGATCAAGGCTAGTTAAAAAATAAAGTTTTTATACAGTGTGTGTGAGGGGCTAAGAGATGGCTCAGTGGTTAAAAGTGATGGTTGAGGACCCAGGTTCAAAACTCAGCACTCACATAGTGGCTTACAACCACCTGTAATGCCAGTTCTAGGGTATCTGATACCCTCTTCAGGTACCAGGCATGAATGTGGTGCACAGACCTACACGCAGGCAAAACATTCATATACATAAAATAGAAATTTTTTTTTAAAAGTGTGAGCCTATGGGGCTAGAGAGATGGCTTAGCAGATCACTGACTGTTCTTCCAGAGGTCCTGAGTTCAATTCCCAGCAACCACATGGTGGCTCACAACCATCTATAATCAGATCTGGTGCCCTCTTCTGGCCTGCAGGCAGGACACTGTATACATAAGTAAATAAATCTTAAAAAAAAAAAAGTGTGACCCTCATATGTGTGGGTTTCAGAGGGCCAATTTTGACAACTGGTTGTCTCCTTCCACTGTGGGCTCTATGGACTGAATCAGGTCTTCAGGTTTGTGCAGCAAACACCTTTACTAACTGAGCCATCTTCCAGCCTTGCTTTATCTTGCAATTTAATTCTATTTCTAAAATAATTTGTTGCTATTGTAAAATTTCATAGGTACTGATCCATGAAGAAGCAGGAGAAAACCAGGTCATACACCATTGGTACAAAAGTCTTGTCTAGGGCTTGGCAGATGGCTCAAAGGTCAGGGTGCCAAGGCTGACAACTTTTGGCAATCCTGGACTCCACACGGTAGAAGAACTGACCCCCACACGCACACTGTGGTAAGGACATACAAGTAACTAACACAAGTAACAGAGCCCTGTTCTGAGCCGCTGTCAGGTGTATCTCGGCTTAGCACCCCAGCACTCTGGGGACTGATGGACTAGTGCCCTCAGACAGCTTCCAGCACGCCGCCCACGCCTCCTTTCTGCTCTTTCCTTCAGCTCAAGCAGTTTAAGCCTCACACACATTGGTAATGTGTCCAGAATAAACTCTGCTTATGGACTGACGGAAGTCATAAACCGTTCTTGGGAATTAATATTCTAAGTATCACTGTCACTTCCTCTCACAAGTGTTTTTTGAGAGGATCTACATAGCCCTGGCTGTCCTGAAATTTGCTATGTAGACCAAGTTGACGTCAGTGACCCACAGAAGTAATTCCTGCCTTTGACTTGTAGTTGGTGTTAACCTAAGACAGCCAGCCTTTTGGGCTGCCCTCTCTTCATGTTTAGAAGCTGGGTCAGGGTCTCAGGAATGAGAAACAGGATTGCTTCCTCGTACCAGAGTGGCCATTAGCTTTGTCTGGACTGTCTCGGAAGCACTTCACTTCCCAGGATGCTCCTGGGATGCCAAAGATTTTCTCTTATCCCTGTTTGCAGTGGGTAATATGGAAGACCCTCTCCCCTGGCTATTTCTTCCTACCAACTCTATGCTTGACACGGACAGACAAGAACTCTTACCAGCTTTCAGGAAGGACCTTCATTCGGTTTTCTCTAGAGTAAAGGACAGGGGCCGGGTTTCCCGTGAACAGGAGCTGCTCTGTCCTTGGGGCTTATCAGAGAGCAGTCCCTCCCTTCTTGTCCCTGGCAGAGGTGCCAAGCAGGCAATTAGGAAATCCTTCACTGCACTCTTAGCCTGGTCACACTGCTCTTTGGTCTGGATCCTACTTCATGGAAGCTACACCAGGCCAGAACTCCCCTCATTTGGTCACCACAGTGCTGAACACACAGCCGAGAAACAATCTGACTAAGGCAGCGGCAGGAACAGGGTGATGTGTGCACTTCTGTGAAGACTCAACTGCCTTGTCACTAGCTGAACATGCTGGGGCAGATGGCATATGTGAGGAGGGGGCCGGCGTGGAATCTAGTGAGTGTGGCTGTTGACTTGAACTACAGCATCATCTGCACAAGGGGGTGTTATTTCATATGTGTTGAGATAACTCATGTATGCTTCATGGGTGTATGTACTTTTGTTTTCTGAGATAGGCACTCACTGTATAGTCGGGCCTGGAAATCCACTATATAAATCAAGTTGGTCTAAATCTCACAATCCTCCTGCCTCAGTATCCAGAGTACTGGGATGACAAGCATGCACCACCACACTCAGCTACTACATTCTTTTGGCAGGTGTGTGAATGGAACTTCATGTTCTGTGTGTACACGCCGTGCTGAGCAAGCACTGCACTATGGAGCTACAGACCATTCTATGTGCTTTCATAATTCCAGGTAAATGTTACTATTGCTCTTTCACAGAACTGGAGTTTGGTTTCCAGCACCCACACGGCAGTTTATAATCATCCATAACTTCAGTTCCAGGGCATTCTGATGCTTGCTTCTGACCTCTGTGGGTCCATGGTATATACGCAGCCAAAGCACTCACACACATAACAGAAAAATTATTTACTTTTTAGTTTTTTCGAGACAAGGTTTCTCTGTAGCTTTGGTGCCTGGCCTTGAACTCACAGAGACCCAACCGCTTCTGCCTCCTGAGTGCTGGGATTAAAGGCAAAAAATTAATTTTTAAAAAAGGAGCGAGAGCTAGATGTGGTGACACACACCTTTAGTCCCAGCACCCTGGAGGCAGGTGTCTCTAAGTTCAAGGTCAGCCTGGTCTAGAACTACACAAAGAGACCATCTTGAAAAAGAACAAACTAAAATTCACACAGAGACATAGACACATAGACACATAGACACACAGACACACACACACAGACACACACACACACACACAAACAGAGATGGGAGAGAGAAAATTGAGCCAGAACTTGTTTCAACTCCTGAGATGACATAGATTGTCATAAAAATCTGAGGCCAGCCCTCCCTGCAGAGTGATCCTGTCTCAAAACCACAAACTAGAACCCCAAGACAACAAAAGAGCAGGGATAGGATGTAGTTCAGTTGATACTTGACTAGGATGAACCCCCCCAGAGAGGATAAGTCAGGAAGTAAAGGCAGAACAGATGTTTCCAGGTGTATATGGCTAGAAAGCAAATCCCAGGCCATCCTGGGCTTCATGAGAATCTGTTTGAAATGAACACATAAAAACAAACTAGTATGACACCATGTCCAGAGAGCCAGGTCGAAGGGAGCTTCAGCTTTGGTTTGTGGCTGTCAAGGCCTGCTTGATTTCAGAGTGCTCCTGCAAGATTCAAGCTATTAGCAAGGCATGCTCCACCCCTCTGAGGCACAGTGAAGCAGTATGATGACACAGGCACACAGTCAAGATTCCCAGCACTGTCCTGGCCGCTTTACAACCTTGAGTGCACCATGAAAACCAATCTCTTTAAGGCTGGGTATCAGGCAGGCCCAGATAACCACTAAGAGGCTGCCTGGACTGGCAGGAGCTCGTTAAGTTTGCTGCTGCTGTCATCATGGATAAACAGACTATTAGACAGCACGGGACTAGCGTGTGTGGGCAAAGTAATCCTGATGTGTCTGGGATAGAGTTTCAAAACCTTGAGGTTCAGAGAAAATGGGAAGCCGACCTGGACCGAGACCAACGAAAGGAGGGCAGACAGAAGCAGGTGGCCTGGACGAGGATGGACTGGAAGGTAACTCCTCAGCTTTGCTACTTCTTCCCAGGTGTAGAAGAGAGGACACCTGTCACCACTATTCCCCGTTAGGAGTAATGGGGCCTGGATTCCAAAGTTCTTCAGAAGGTAGTGCCATCCATTAGGTATGGAGGGTAATTCAGCCCACAAAGGTCTCAAGGTTTAAGCTGAAATTTGATGTCAGGTTCTTTCCTACGGGTGTGCTCTTAAAACTCTAAGGAGGCATCAGAACCAGAGTGGGTGTTTCACACCAGAGGACAGGGCCCTCCATGGGGTTGATCAGACAGGATGAGGACAGAGTCAGAACCTGAGATTGAACCAGTTCCTGGGTGATGTTCATTTGTTCATATTGCAGGTCCAGATTCCCGTCTGGCAACCACAACAGATCATACTAGGCCTGTGTGCTGATGTCTGTCCAAGTCAAATGTAAACGCACCAAGAGCACCCTGCTGCAATTAACTAAAGGGAACAAAACCACTCTTCATCACCTCCAATTCTGGCTAGGCAGTGCCCCTTCCAGCACCTGTGGTAGGCCAGGTTTCCCCAGTGTTTTTCCTGGAAGTTAGTCTTTTCCCTTTGTATTCTGAATAAAGTGCCAGGCAGATGCTGCATACCTAACAGCCTGCCATGCATCAAGTCAATTCAACAAACACGTGGGGGGTGGGATGCTGCCATCAGCGCTAAACAGTACAGTTTAACAACTACTTACACAGGTTTCATAAGACAGCTAGGAATGACAACACAGAGGAAGCTGTGCACAGCTGACATGCAAACACCAGGTTACACAGGTACTTTAGCACCTGCAGACAGGGGTCCTGGAAGCAACACCCGAGGGCAACTGTACTTACTGACAACTTGGTTAGGAGTCACTCCACATCTCAGCTTTTGGTATACGCCAGGCCAGGCTGTGCTGGGTTGTCTTTGCCTTCCTATAAAGACTTAACTCCTTCCCATAGGAAAACTCTGGATACAACCACTCTGCCCAGTTCTGACTGGCTAGACTAGGGTGACTGGTCCTATGCAGTCAGGAACCAGCTGACGGGATTCTAGGAGCAAGTTGTGGTTTTCCACTCCTCAAATGGTCTCAAGGCACCTGAATTAGAATTCGTGTCATGGAGGCAGAAGGGCAGGAACTGCAGCATACAATAGCTCAATCTGGGCATTTCCCAGCTGCCTTCTTGGCTGCTACCACACAGTTCATTTTGCACTGTGGAAGCTTTTGCTAAAATTGCCTCAGGAAACTAGAGGAGTGAGCTTTGTAAGTACAAAGGAGACTTGAGCGAATCCCACAAACATTGTCCTTTCAAAAGCTCAAGGAATGGAATCCAGGGAAACAGATCAGCAAGGCCAAGCTACCAGAGCAAAGTGGGGGAAGGGGTGTGAGGACAGTGAAGCCTGCCCAGGCAGGCAGCTACAGCATGGGCACTCAGAGCTCAGCCACCTCTGGCTGAGCTGGCAGGATTTTCAGCCACCCAGGAGCAAAGAGCCCACTGCCTTCCTGACAAAGACACCACTTGCATAACCGCCACAGGCCACAGGCCTTTCCCCTTCCAGAGGCAGCCCCAAAGGCTGTTAGCAACCTTCAGTGAGACCAGAGCAAAGCTGCCCAGACAGGGGCTGCCGCAAAGTGAAGGAGGGGACAGCAGAGGCCAAGTCTTTGATGAGAAGTACTTTCAATGTCTCCAATGGCTCACAGCAGTTTACAGCCTCCTTTCTTCCCCGAACCACTCTTAGTTGTGCTTTTCTGTACTATGCCGTGCGTTTTAACAAGGAAGCTCTGGGGAGAGCATTCAGGCAGGCAACTGTCTCCTCTACCAAGTTTTAAAATCAAGCTGACTAGTGAAGACGTTTTTGTTGTTGCTACACACAGTATTTACCATTGGTTGTTTGGTGAAAAACAGGTTATGTAGAACAAGAGATGTTTTCTTCAGATGGGCCTCATGCACCTTAAACTCTAAGCTACATAGGTAGGGGGATTTTGCCTCCACCTCTGCAGTGCTAAGACCACAGGCGTGCACCACACCTGGCCTTATCAGGAGCTGGAGATGGAATTTGGGGCCTAACACAGGTTACACAGACACTGTCAACTAATCTACATTTAAGTCCTAAGAAGTAAGTTTTGCTTTGTTGAAGATTTAATTGATGCACATAACTGTTCTGCCTGTATGTGCACTGTGGAGGTCACAACTGAGCTCTGGGAACTGGAATTCCAGGCAGCTGTGAGTTGCCATCTGGATGTGTTGGGAGAGAAGCAAGTACTTCTAACCCTGAGTCATTCCTCCAGCCCCAGAGCTAAATTTTTAAACATCTGGGCTTTCTTTGGTGAGGAATTCTTGTACTATGAAGGTTTTCGGTGGAACATATATAAGTCAGAAACCCAAATTTCTGGTTTATTTTTAGAAAGTAGTAGAAACAGCCGTCAGTATACAAAAGCCAGTGATGCAGCCGGGCTGGGCTTCTGATAAGCCAGTGTCTTGCCACCTCACTCTGCAGCAACAGAAACATCACCACAGACATCAATGTGATCGGCATGCCAGACCTGGTTTTCTAATGGTTTTCACTCTAAAGTTTGTTTCTGAAAGTACACAAACATGCAACTACCGCACCAGAAAATGAGATGACATAGCATATTTTATAGAAGAAACACACTATCTCCTATAAACATTCTCAGAACTATTTTGTTGTTGCTTTTGGAAGAGGCCTTAGACTGTAGAGATGGCTCAGCAGATAAAAATCCTTGCCTTCGCTGGGCAGTGGTGACATAAGCCTTTAATCCCAGCACTGGGGAAGTAGAGGGAAAAGGATCCTTGAGTTCAAGACCAGCCTAGTCTACAGAGCCAGTTCCAGGGCAGGCTCCAAAGCTATAGAGAAACCCTGTCTTAAACCTCCTCCCCCTGAAAGAAAATGCTTGAACGGAAACTCACGTGAAAGTGAAGGAAGAGACTAAGAGACAAAGCCTTGCCGCAGAATCCTATCCGGCCTCAAGTCTTCAGAGTCCAGGGATTGTGGGTGGGCACATGTATGGTTGAATTTTTAAAATAGATTTATTTATTATGTATACAATATCCTGCCTCCATATATGGCTGCATGCCAGAAGAGGGCACCAGATCTCATTATGGATGTCTGAGTCACCATGTGGTTGCTGGGAATTGAACTCAGGACCTCTGCAAGAGCACCTTAACCTTTGAGCCATCTCTCCAGCCCATATGGCTGAATTTTTATGAAATGAGGATTACTTACAAATCTAGCAAGAATTAAAAACAGGAGCTTTGGTCTAAGACTAAAGCTGATTAAAGAACCTAGCTACTTCACCAAAATGCTTTCCAGGAACTAGAAATAAAAACAACTGGGCCGAGTGGTGGCACACGTCTTTAATCCCAGCAATCCGGAGGCAGAGGCAGGGGGACTTCTGTGAGTTCAAGGACAGCCTGGTCTACAGAGTGAGTTCCAGGACAGGCTCCAAAGCTACAGAGAAACCTGTCGGGAAAAAAAAAAACAACCCCCCCCCCCAAAAACAAACAAAAAAAACCAAAAACCAAAAAAAACTCCCAAAACCAAAATTGGGTTAGCTTAAGCTTTCCTTAGGCTTGCAGCTCTGTCCTCTGCACACTTGGATACCAGCACCAGCCATGTACTGTAGCTGGGCTGAGGCCTAAGGTGAGCACCACAGACTAGCTGTTAAGGGTTTTCTCCGGACCATGACTAAGACTGAGGCCAATTTTATTACTGTCTAAGCACTTAGACTGCATCTAAGGTTGCACCATTGTGAAAACTCTTGGCATCTAATTGAGATTAAAGTGGATGCTTTCAGGTGGTAGCACTGTGGCCTAGCTCAAAAACTGCTGGGAAAACAGGAGTCTGCCCTAAGGATAAAAGTGACACATGAAAACACACCAGGCGCACACACATCAAAGCCTAATTTAACAATGTACTTTATACAAAATAACCAGTTCATATGGAAATAAATCTACAGATCTCCAAAGATCAAAAAAGCTTTTTTAAAAAGTTCTTTCAAAAAATTATCCGACACACAATATCAAACTAACTACTGAGGTAATTGTCGCTCTCAATGAAACAGGAAACCAGCAGACCATGACAAAATATATACAATATAAAAATAAATACCATTCCCTTTCCAGTACTGGCCAGGACAGTTCATAGGGCATTCACTTTCACAGCAGATGAATGTCTTATACTGTGTGCAGGCTGGAGGAGCATGGCTGGGGGCCCCCAGGAGCTGTCCACAAGTCAAGTGAGAAGTAGCCCCTGCTTAGAAAATGAAGGGACCAAGAGGTTGCAGAATGAGGTGGAGTGAGGCAGCATTTCAATAAATTACTCAATATAGCTGTCCTCACTGAACCCCAAGGGGAGATGAGAGCAGCCAACTGAAGTCTAGACAGTAGAAGGCTCAATGTCCTACCTCACCCAAGTTATGTTTAACTAACAGGCAGAGAGGGATCAAGAGCAAAGCTGATGTCAGTCTGTGAGTGTGGGACGCAGCCTATCTTCTCATCAGGAAGGGTCTACCTCAGGTCCTGAGGCTAAGGCCTTCTCACCAAGTCTCAATCACGTCTATCACATTTGTACTTTATTTAGGGTGTGTGTGTGATCTATAAAAGGCCTGGAGCTAGACCAAGCAGGCCTTTCATTCTCTTTTCTGCCTGCCACACTTGGCTCACATCTGTACTAAATCAGTGTTGTAAATTCATGGGGGAAATGCCGCTGCACGGGGCACCCAAACGTCAAGTATCTTTGCCACAGTTGTTGACAAGAGCTACCCACATTCCAGAAACCCTCCGAATACAGAAGGAAACTTCACAACAGGTAAATATAGGTATACAGGGAATCGGGCCAAGAAGTAACCAATTCTAGAAGACCAAATAAGGTTATCTGAAACACTGAAGATATTGACACTTGTCTAGGACTTTGGATTTTTAAGCCTTCCCATGGAATTTCAATGTGTGTGTGTTATTAGGGACTCAAGATAGGGCCTTGTGCATGCTGCACAAGAACATTGAGCTATATCCCAACCCACTTTTTCACTTCTGAGACAGCATCTTATTAAGTTGCCTAGGCAAGCTTGAACTTGTGATCCTCCTGCCCCACCTTTCAATAGCTGAGATTACAGATTCATGCCACCAGACCTGCATTAGGTTTGTTTTATTTTGTAGTTCTGGGGATTGAACATATGGCCCTGCACATGCTAGGCAAGTGCTCTACCACAGACCTACATCCCCCACTCCCCCAAATTAGGGCTTCAGAGCAGCATATCATTTATAAATTTGAACATTCATTAAAAGAAAAAGTTTGACCAAGTGCTATGGCTTGAAGTCTTGTTGGTGGCAAACATGGTGAGAACTATATTGGGATTATCTGTGTGTTTAAGGCTGCATTTTGATGCCAGGAGACGTTAACACACACAATCATACAGCAAACAAATGCCATTGGACAATAACACCAACTGGGCAGTCAAGAGGAAGGCTAGAGAAATTGACATTTAAAGTTGCAATCCTATTGAGCCGAGGGGTGGAGACTACAGGTCTTAAAGTTTTCCATAGACAGTTTCATATAAGCACTAGCATGAGGTTTATCTTTTGAGAACAGCTGGCCTGGGGCCTGGGCTCAGCGTGAACTGAAGTGCAGTTCACAGTCAGGTGTGCTACCAGTTGACCAAAAACCCGTCTGGCTCAGAAAGGCAGAGTGGTTGTCTCTTTAAAATGAGATGGAAAGTTACAAGAATTAGAACCCTGCATATTTAGTCCTAATCTCAACACTTTTTAGTCAAGAGCTCCCAAAATTTTTTTTTTTTCAAAGAAACAGGTTGGTTAACTTCTTGTTGCCTGCAAGATGTAGGGTTCTCAGCAGCTACTGCAGCACCACGCCCTCCTGTCTGCTGCCAAGCTCTCTGTCATGATAATGGACTGAATCTCTGAAGCTGTATCAGCATGAAGCGCAGTTCAGTTTTCACTAGTGGTGCTTGCTACGTCTCTATAATGGGAGTTAAGATCCCTGGACTTCAATACCCCTCAAACCAAAAAGAGAACAACCTTTGGAAACCCGAGTACAAACAAATCTACATCTCAAAGAAAAGTCTCAATATTTGGTAAATTTCTTCCATGTATATGGTAGGAGACCCTCATACCTGGCCTCACACCGTGGCAGCCTCGGTGTGGCTAATAGACTGCATCAAGTTGTTTTTGGACTACACCATCATATGCTATGAACTTTTATGGTTGGTGGTGACAGCTTTGAAGAGAATGCAGAGCTGCAGTCGGAGCTGTAGATGCGTCCAACCTGGTTTCATTAGCAGCAGAAAACAAAGCCTAAATGAACTGATTGCAAGACTGGAGTAAGAAAGAGCTAAAGAACCAAATCATCTGACATCACTGAGGAAACTGAAAACTTCCTTGCAAGTAGATGCTCAAATATAAAGCATACATGAACAGATCTGAGCTTAATCCATCCAGTCTAGACCAGAAATCGACTGGTCCTGATGAAGAAATTGGTAGACTAGAACTAGAATGGGAAACAGTAAGAAAGGAGAATGCTTGACTACAGAATATTGCTGATAACCAAAAGTACTCCTCCGTTGCAGACACTGAGAAAATAAGACATGAAAAAAATGAACTGTAGCAGACCACTAATAAATTATCTAAAGACCTAAAGGCTAAACAACGACAAATATGGATCGAGGAATAACAATATGCCAGAGGCAAAGAAACAATTGAAGTACAGTTGGCAGAATACCACACAAGCTGGCTAGAAAATTAAAGCTTATTCCCAAAGAAGCTGAGAATTCCAAAGGTTATGACTTTGAAAATTAAATTTAATCCTGAAGCTGGTGTCAAATGCCTTGTCAAATACAGGGATCAAGTGTAAGTACCTCTCCAAGAACTCTTGAATAAAACCAAAGAAATTAATAAAGCTCTAAATAAAAATATTAGTCTGGAGGATGCTTTAGAACAACTGAACACCATAAAGACAGAGCAAAAGTGTGAGGATGCTCAAGAAGAGGGTGGTGAACGAGGGCCTCAGTGAAGCCATGGATGAGTTACGGCTGTCCAGGTGGAATACCAACTAGTTGTATTAACCTCAACTGAAGAAAGAAGAAAAGGGAGAAATAGCTTACAGTGTCTTTTAGAGTTGATGTACCTACACATGTAGGTCTTTGGAAAAACAGATTGCTAAAACTAACAGAGAATATGAAAGAATGCATGTCTGAAAATCTGAAAATGTCTGTAGAGAACTGGAGTAACGCTGCTGCTCTAGTTAAGGCTCCTGGTGAATGAAGATAGAGTAACGGTGACTACCTTGTATCTTATAGACACAACATTAGCCCAGAACTATGCTAACTTGGTAGATTAACTTTTCAGGTGTAACAGACCAGTTATTATAGTACATTAGTAAAGAAACAAACAAAAAAATCCCGCAGGGCTGGGGTTGGGGGAGACATATCTATCCATAAACCTTCTAAAAGGCTCTACTTTTCTTTCTGAATTTTTTATTTCTTTTAGATCCTAAGGTTTCTAAGTTATGAATAAATCTGATAAAGGTTAAGTCTAACACTAAATCAAAGAATGCTTCCAATTATGCACAGCAATGTCCTCCTGGGGACTAGAGTCAGCATACTGACAAGGTCACAGTAACCAACGGATACAAGTCCTAGGCCGAGAGTGGACCTTTTAAGACACCCTTGCACACTACTTTCTAATTATTACATCTTGCAGACTCAGCATTTTCCACCGAAGACTCTAAATGAGATTATTAGCATCTGCTGAATACACCTAGAAGAGAAGAGCTGGAAGAAAAGTGAAACAAAAGCTCTTGTCCGGCTCAAGTGGGTGAGGGTGATGGGCTCACAGAAGAGCAGCATTGTATTGTTCTGGCTGCTCCAAGTTGGGAACTTATAGGACTAGAAACTACCAAATTCCCACAAGGGACACAACAGGCTCTTCTCACAGTGTTAGAACTTAATAAATACAGTAGTTCCATCTTCTATTTAATTTCTTAATAAACCAAGGGATAAAGGAACTCACCAATTCCTTGCTCCCCAATATTGTTCACAGCATTGCTTTAGAAACATGAAGAAGAGGTGAGGATGCACTCAGCTTAGTGACCTCTAGTTTTAGCACCCTGAAAAAGGTCTGATGGTTGCAGCATTCCCAGTGAAGAAGTTTCAGGCCTCTGCTGTAGTGGCAGACACAGAAGCAGCAGTAGGACCAAGCTGGCTCTTATTAGCTCAAAAGCAGACCAGAGCCATCCAACGAATCTGATTTCTTTACTCTTCTAATTCTAAACTCAAGCGTGTAGGTGTTGGGCCTCTGAAATAGTTGACCGTAAAACACCAACTACAACAAGCTTGTTGGAAAGAAAACTGCATGTATGTATGTGCTGTACTTGGAGACACTGTGTGGGTCAGCACCACCAGCAGGTTGGTAACCAGTATGTCTATCAGCGAAGTTCAAGGGTCCAATCATCTCTATAATTTGGATGTTTCCAATTTCCTTCCCTTCCCTCCTCACATATTTGGCAGACTATTCTACATTTACTGGGAATGCTGGGACTTGAGAAAAATCTTCCATTGACTCCACCCACACCTAAACTTCTAAGAATCTGGGCAGATTAATATTTATAAAACATAGAGATCTCCATACCCCAAAGCATACTGTAAAATTATATTCTTTTAAAGAGACTTGCAACTCCAGGGCATTTCCCTTGGTTTATTCTGTGTGGGGTATTCAAAATTTTAAACATAGGTCCTAACTTTGGTGATATCTCAGCTAAAATAAAATACAGAAGGCTAAAGCAGAGAGAATCCAGTGTAATTCACTTCTAAATCCATTGTAACGTAATTTAATACTGTAAAATTGTTTCCTATCACAGACACAACAAATAATTTCCAAGAACTAGCCCTTGACAGCTACTTTAAATCAACGTGATCAAGTCATAGTACTACGATTCTCTTAAAATGAATAAAAACTATACATACTGAAATAGACCTAAATTCAAATTTAAATCTATAGGATATACTTTCCTTATTCAAACCTGTGCAATATCTTTATTGAGACTAACATATATAACAAACCTGAGTAGTCACTTTCACAAAACACAGTTTGTGCTAGAAAGCGTGTGATGCCTTCTAGATCACTGGCCTAAGAGGCCCATGAAGAAGCCACTTCATCTTGTAATAACTGGAGAGCCCAAGTTCCTGGTTTACAACTATCTGGTGGGGTTGGTGGGAAAATCAGGAAGAGACATGCTTTCCCAGATCCAGAACTTGGGCCAGAGGGAGAGCAGTCTGTCCTCTGGCTGAAACACCCAGTAGGCCACAAGACAGCACCTGCCAACCACTGAGAAAAGAATGCTGAGGAGGACAAATGCAGTAAGCAGTCTCTGAGGCTGGCTGGAAACAAGCTAGTGACATACATAAGCTGACACCTTTCAGATCTTTTCTAAGTTCCACAAGCATACAGTGTGACCTGACTACACAGACAGAGACTAACTACCCCAGTGCTGTGTGCTACAGCGGGGGAAGGACTCCCAGCTCCTCCATGTGCCCACCTGACTGTCCCACTCTATATACAATACATTCACCCGGAAAAAAAAAAAAAAAAAAAAGGAGGCAACAAGAAAATTCTGTAAACTGGCCCCAGCTCAAAAACATTAATACTACAAGTAGTCCCTTCCCCAAATATATACCTGAGATTAGCTGCTCATGAATATTTAAAAGCACCACTGCATCCTTACATGTACCCTCTACCCAAGTTTAAAGTGATTTTCCCTGAACAAGAGTCTTGAGATTTGGAGAAGCCAGCAAGGACTCCAGGTACACTTGCTCTTGCTAAGTACGTCAACTATGCAGGTGATCCCAGCCAAGGGTCCTGTGTCAGTCATTTACAAAGTGTGTATCTAAAGCCCGGGAGTTCAAGCTCTGAGGATGGTATGCTTCACAGAAGAGGTGGAGGAGGATGGCAGAACAGAGGTGTACAACAATCATTCCTCCAAATCCTCCAAGACCTGTATGTCTTCATGTGCAGCTGTCCATTTCCTTGGGGATTATTTCCTCCTTGGACTAGCTCTGAAAAGTAATAAAAAATATTAAATTACATCAACTGGCTAACAATAACTAAGTAGGTAGGAAAAAAAACCACACAGGCTTGCTTATACTGCTAGTTACCCCAACAAGCTATCCTGAGTCCTGGATCTCCTATTTGGACACAGGCCCTGGTGCTTAGTAGTTGGTGGGGGGAACACAAAAGAAATTAAAAATACTCAGTGTAGTTGTGCATTTGTAAACCTAGCACTTGGAAGATGAAGGCAAGAGGACCAGAAGTTTAAGGTTGCATAAGTGAATTTGCCCCACAAACAAACAAAAACTACCAACCAAAATTCACCCCTCAACAAGTATAACTCAGGAATAATTAGAGTTCTCAGCTAGGATTCATGAACCCCTGAGACAGAATCTCCAGCATCATAAAAACCCATGAACAACATAAAATTATTTAGCTCCTACTAAAAATAAACAACTCCTATTCTCAGAATAACGAGGTCAGGCACAGGTTGAACACCCAGACTTTTTCTTTTAAGACAGGGTTTCCTTTGGCCTGGAGTGATAGTTCAGTGGTTGCTCTTCAGAGGACCAGCATCACTCACATGGCAGCTCACAACGGTCTATAACTCCCTCTAAAGCCAGGCTGGCCTCAAAGTCAAGAGAACTGCCTGCCTCTGTCTCCCAGGTACTGGGGTTAAAGGCATGCACCACTACACACCCCTGAAAAAAAAACTTTTTAAGTCTAAATATAACAATTAAAAAGAGAGTCACACTCTGTGGCATTTTGGGCTTCAAGTTTTAGATTAAATCAACGAATAAAGTCTATACAAATATCCCAACATCAAGAAATCTGAATTCTGAAGTACATTGGGGCCCAATCTGCATTATTCTTTATGCCTGCAGAGCAAGGAAATGCTCTAGTTTTTAGTAACTCTTACCTGATCCAGAGGAAGTGTTGGGGGCTTATGTGGTGGCAGCTGTTCCGGTGACGCTGCAGGTGCCGGGGTCTTTGGGAATAAGGACTGTGACTGGACTGGATGCATGTGCATTCTACAGTCAGAAGAAAGGAACAGCTAAGTGTTAGTGAGGACCAACTAGAAGAACAGGTACTTGAGTTACAAAGGCAGTGCTGTAATCAACTAGCTGGTAAATTTGGAATCAACAATACTAGAACAAAATGGAACAAGCTTCCTGGGGTGATGTTTGTACCAAAGCCAAGTATACCATAGCATAAACACAGGGGTCAATGAACCAAACCCAACATTAGGTCTGGAGAACTGGCCTGAACTCTGAGAAAGAAGACAAAAACAGTAAAAATTTGTATAGAGATTAAACATACAAAATAAGCAAATAAATAAATACTGAGCCTAGACTAGATCTTGAAGCAGAAAGAAATCAAAAGAGAAAAAACAAATCTCTAAAAGATATTCCAAGGACACAGAGGTAGTTTAAGGATATGTAAGTGACCATCCTATTTCTCCTTTGGTGTGGGACCTGCACTTTGAGACTGTGCTGCAGGGCAGTGTCCTGAGGCGGCTCAGAATCGTAAGGTACTTAATGGCTGCTATGTAAGCTCCAGCAGTTTAAGTGACCCAGCCACAGAAGGTATGACTGCCTCGCTGAATAAGGTAACGAGCCAAGAGCTAGCATAGACAAGAATAATGGGCTAATATAAACCGTAGGAGTTAATAAGAAGCCTGAGCTGAGCTAATGGGCCAATCAATTTATAACTAATGTAGACATCTGTGTGATTTCTTTGGGACTTAAGGATGGCGGGAACCAGGCAGGAAAGAAAGAAACCTCATACAACAAATGGCGCCCACGTGGACAACTGCATCCACATAAAACCCGAGAGAGTTTAGGAAGTTATTCTAGACAGAAAAGAACAGAGTTAAGCATGGCTTATTGATAGCAGCACTTTCTCAGGTGGGCTCTGCTTGCTAGAGGCAAGCGCTCTCATTTAAGAGAGGCTTCCTGACTCAGCATTAGCTGCAAAACCCTGCAGCTCTTTTAAGAAGTCCTGCCACAAAACACTTAAATGGTGTTGATGAAAAGCTGGCCCAATGCTTTTTGGTGGTGGCAGGGACCTTGAAACGCCATAGAGTTGTGGCAATAAACATGGCTACAGCTGATACCTCTGCTATGAGGCTGAAATCTCAGAATGGGCTGGATCCAGCTGTCAAAGCCATGGCTTTAATCCTAGCCATATTGCCCAGCAAATTAAAGACTTGTGGTCAAAAAAAGAGAGATATACAGTAAAGAGAGATTCAAAGACAACCTCTAAATGGTTTACAGTATGTTAAAAATATATGCAGGCTTGGGAGAGAAAAAGGTTAAAGTCCTAAAAAGAAAAAAAGAGAGTAGTTGGGAGTGGTGGTGTACGCCTTTAATTCTAACACTTGGGAAACAAAGGCAGGCAGACCCCTGTGAATTCAAGGTGTGGTGGTATACATCTTTAATCCCAACACTTAGGAGGCAGAGGTAGCAGATCTCTATAAGTTCAAGGACAACCTGGTTTACAGAGTGAATTCCAAAATAGGCAAACATACACAGAGAAACTCTGTCCCAAAAAGTCAAAAATTAAAAATAAAAGAAATGTTAAAATAAAGCCACGTAAAGATAAAAAAAAATACACAGAGTCTGGATACTGTATGTTATTATGCTCTCTTTGAATTGTTTGAATGCTGAGAAAGGAGCAAGAGCTGATAAAAGATATCTGCTTATAAATGCTGCTGAATTAATCCAAGATAGGTATTTTGAAAATACCTTGACTTCAAAATTAAAGATGTTTCGCTTTTGTTTCCACAGAAAATGAAAGGCTATGGATTTATTCTGAGTTAAGAAAAATCAGGTTTGATCAAGGAAGGCCATCTGAGAAATCTCCGGTAGATACAAATTGCCCAGATGTCTGAGTTCTACATCCAGAACAGATTCAAGATGCTGCCTGAGATGATCAAGCCTCACAGGATACTCCAGCCAGGACTTGATCATAATTCTAAATTTTCTTTAGGTCCCCATAACATTATCAGCACCCCCAACCTGCAGGAAGTAGCCTGGAAAACTATGCCCTTCTTTCTTCTAAAAAATGGACAATGGGTATTTTCCTTTGTTTAGAATGTTGGCTACAAGTTGTTATGGCTAATGATCAGGAGAAAAGCTAAACAAAAGATATTATATTCAGGAAAAAGAAAAAGGCAAAGAAAAACACAAGCAGTTACTTAGAAATGTACAGAACCAGTAGGCAAGCTGAACAGTGGTGCACTTGGGTGGAAGTGGCTGGTGGATCTGAGTTTGAGGCCAGCTGGTGTATATATGGAGTTTTAGGCCACAGTTATACAATAAGACCCTGCCTCATAAAGCAAAAACAAGCTGCGATGGTGGCACGCACCTATTATTCCCAGCATTTGGGAGACAGAGGCAATCAGTCCTCTGTGAATTCAGAGGCCACGAGGGTCTACATAGAGAATTCCAGAATGAGAGCTACACAGACGGATGCTGTCTGAAGAAAACAAAATACCTCCCCAACATAAAAACAAACAAAACAACTACACCATCTTCCCCAAAGTAAAACAGTAGGGAAAATATAAAACATGAGAGCGAGTGAGTGGCACACACTTAGGCACTAGGGAGGCTGAGGCAAGAAGACTGAGTTTCAGGCCAGCTCGGGATACCAAACAAAATCTTGTTTCAAACAAGCAGACAAAAACAACCACAAATGTAAAAGCGAGGAGAGCTTTTGATGGGATGGCAGGGGCACAACCAACTTTTAAATTAAATGGCATAATGATTAGGCTTTATTATATTTTTTAAAATTTATTTATTTATTATGTATACAAATGTTCTGCCTGCATGCCAGAAGGCACCAAATCTTATTACAGACGGTTGTAAGTTATCATATGGTTGCTGGGAACTGAATTCAGGACCTCTGGGAAAGCAGCTAGTGTTCTTAACTGCTGAGCCATCTCTCCAGCTTGGCTTTACAATCTTTTAAGTAATTTTACTAGACTATCCTTCTCTTCTCTCTCTCTCACATCTTGCTGACATTAATCATGACTTGTTCCACCTTAAAAAAACAAAACAAAACAAAACAAACCCAACAACAAGGGAGGAATTAGGTAAGAAGGAAAACTTTAACGACATATATTTAGGCTTCCTAAGGCAGACTCTCTTTACCCTGGTCTGTGCCAAGTTAACTAAACAGCAATGCTGATCAGCTTTCCTGATAGGCCAGGCACAGTGCCGCACACCTGTAAATCCAGTTCTTAGGAGGCTGAGACAGGATAGTTCCCAACAGTTTGAGGCATGGGCTACACTGTGATCATTCGCTTCAAAAACAAACCCCCTAATCTATTTTTTGAAATAACGAACAATCTAATCATTTAAATACTAATTCATAGATCATGTAAATTCTTGAGTTAGCTATCTACCACCAGTGCAAATGTTGATTCATTTTACCAGGGGAAGAAAACAGAAAAGACAAAAAAAAAAAATCTAATCTCTATTAAGTCATAATTCACATCCTTTCTTTACCTTGGACAATTGTCTTTATTCCTAAAGCACTGTTATTTTTTTCAGAGAAATTTAATGCAATCTTACCCCGATGGTCTGTGCATTTCTTGGAAAGGGCCTCTTATTCCGCTTCCAGTGCCAGTCTGCTCCATCACTGTAGACTGAAAGTGACCTAAGCCCTCTTCCTGACAGCGATAGAGGGGGCCCTCTGAAGAGAGGCCATTGGGCTGGGTGGCCACCGAATGGGGAGGTGGATGGGCAGCCACAGGGGATGGGTATGCCCTGGGCTGAAAATGACTGGCAGGACGCTGAGGAGTGTACGGAGACCCTGTCTGCAGCATCACACTGTGGGGTGGGAAAGCAGGTGAACCAAAAGTCATTCCTGAATTCAGAGGTGGAGTTCCATAAAGATACTCATTGGTAGACAGTGAGCTCTGCCGCTTGGTAGCTGCATTATGGTTGTCCAGATCTAGAAATTCTTTGGGACTCTCTGGTCTCTCCACAGATTCATCCAGCTTTTCTTCCTCTGGACCAGGATTCTGTCCATCAGACAGGACAACCTTAGCAGCCACTGCATCCATTTGAGTTGGAGAAGTTAAGGCAGCATTTAGTGTCTCACAGCTTTGCAGAGTAGTAGACAAGGCATTCTTATCTGAGAAGAGGGGGCGTGGAGGGTGACTCCCTTGGGGTCCACTTGGGCTTCTCTGGGAAGGAAGAGATCTCTGCCAATCAGGAAAGCCCTGTGGACCTGTGTAGTAAGGAGTCCGCTGATAAGGGTGGTAGGAGGATTGAGAAGACTGCTGGTAGGCATACCTCATTCCCTGCTGGGGGCGGTATTGGGGAAAGAGTCCAGGATGGGGACTGTTAGGCTGGAAGCCCCTGGGAGAGAAGGGCTGAGGGTGTGATCCTGGGGACTTTCCTCCCATCATAGAGCCCAAGCCTTGCAGACCTGGATTCATATGGTAATGTGCAGCTGAATTAGAGTATTCTAGGCCAGGCATGTACAAGGGAGAAAACTGATTTACACTGCCTGTCATCAAATTGGGATCTGTGCAAGGAGGTGTAGTTGCATTCTGTCCTGGACATGGCATGGTTTCCTGCAGTGTTTTACCCCTGGGGCAGAGTGGTTTTTCTGAACTACTGCCACCAAGGCCCTTCCCCTCTGACCTACAAGGAGATGCTTCATTAACAACCCCATTTTCAGGTAGAGTTCCTCTGTCTGCCACAATGGAGAGGTCTCTCAAACAACCTGGCACAGTTGGGCTGGTGTAGCTATTGTCCAAAGGCCAAGTGTTCTTGCTCTTTGATGCTTTATAGTTGTCTGCAGTTTCTGAATCATCACTTTTGAGTTCTGGGCCCTCTGTTTCCCTTTCTTGTGGTGAGCTTTGCCTGGTACAATTGGCTTGCAGGGGAGGTGTCGGGTGAGGTAGCTGTTTGAGGTATACCCCCTCTGAAGCACAAGCATTTGCTGTTTTCTCTTCGGGCCCAGGCAAAGGTTCTGCTGGGGAGGAAAAGAACCGAACAGTAAATTAGCAGTTGGACTAGCAACGTCAAATAGAGTAATAGAGAGAACATGGTGAACGCTCAGATGAACAGGGTCAAGGCTGAGATGATATTTGACAATGTAAACCTCAGCTAGACACTGCGATACAGCAAGTCTTTGAAAGGTTTCACAATACTGGGAGAGAGGGGTCCTGCAGATTCTCTTTTGTAGGCAGAACAAACCACAACTATGTTACCCAAAATGCACACGTCTTGGCCTCTCCTGTATTGTCAAAACTCAAGACTAGAAAGATGCCATGACATTTAAATCTGAGTTAAAGATCTAGTATTTCACATGGAATTTTCAACACCTACCATGAAAGTCTAAGTAATTACATCCCTTACCAAATACTGCACAAAAATCACACTATATACTGGACATAGTATATTCTTCCTCTCCTTCAGTTTTATCTTTATGGCTTTTAGGCAGTATCGAGGAACTGCTTCATCCTTTACTAGACTTCACAGTTCTTCAATGTTATGTATTAGAGACAGATGGCAATAATTAGACATGGAAAACATTGCACAGTGATTTTCAACTGTAAACTAAGATACTGGGCAGAGTCTTAGGGACAACAGACATGCAAGGCTGCCACTCTGCCAAATTTTCTCAATTATTCATGAAAAGTGTAACTTTTTCTTCTATCTATCTATCTATCTATCTATCTATCTATCTATCTATCTATCTCTTTCTCTCTCTGTCTTCTTTCTTTCTTTTTCTTTCTTTTGTTATTAAAGACAGGGTTTCTCTGTATTGGTAAACACTAGCTGTCCTGGAACTCACTTTGTAGACCAGGCTGGCCTTAAACTCAGATCTACCTGCCTCTGCCTCCTGAGTACTGGGATTAAAGGTGTACACCCCCACTGCCTGGCTCTTCTCTAAGAAAGCTTTTCTTAACATCCCTCCTCTCAATATGTAGGGGTCCTTAATCTTTCTCTAAAGTTTCCGTGCCCACTATACTGCTGCTTGTTGCCGTGTGTCTGATTTCCACACCAGCTTAAATAACATGGACTTTTTCTTTTCCATTTTTCTTCTTTGGGCAGCACCTGAAGCGTAAAGCTAGGCTGCCCCGTGGTTTCTCTTTAAACAATAAAATTATCCTTGAACTCAAAACAAAACAACACAAGCAGAGACACAGACACACACATACTGAGACTGGGCATGGTGGTACAGGCCTATGATCCCAGCACTTGGGAAATGGAGTATGAGAGGATCCTGAGTTTAAGTATAGCAAGAGACCAGACTAGGACAATCAAGATGGCCCATCCAGTATGGGCACATGCTGCCAAGCCGGAGAACCAGAGTGCAGTCCCTGGACTCACAGCAGGAGAAAACTAACTCCTACAAGTTACCCCCCCCCCCAATCAAAAACAAAACAAATGCAAGGATACTGGTAACAGCTCATACAAAGGCATGTTCTAATTAAATGAACTTACATAAAAAAGGTCTAAAAAGAGGTTGGGCATGGTGGTGTAAACCTTTGATCCCAGCACTGGAAGGCAGAGGCAGAGGAAATCTCTGTGAGCTTGAAAACAGCCTACAAACCCACTAAGTACCAAGACAGCCAGAGCCAAAGAAAAAAGTTCCTAAAAGAACTTTTTTGGCTGTATAACCATTTATTATGCTCTTGATACTGCTAGAGCTAAAGGACTTCAATTATTCAAACAAGTAGTTTATGGGAGAGGTTTGGTACTATTTTACGTTATCTTCATATTCTCTATAAAAAAAATGAACTGATTCATGAATTGACAAACACAAAAAGGACAGGGAGAGAGGGAAAAAAAAGGCATTGTAAATTACCTTGGTCATTCTCAGTCTCTTGTGTTTCACTGATATCCTGTGTACTTCCAGGATTGTCTAAAGTAGGCTTGGGGGCTGACACGCATACGGATGCTGAATGAGTTACCTGTGAAAAAGGACCAGGTAACTGAGGAGGAGTGGGCTGGCGGGGGTGGTAAGGCACACCTGGGGTACAGACTCGGGAGGAGAGCTGTTGCATGGCGATCATTTCAGGGCTGTCCATCATGGATTCCCCTCCTTGCACCCCCCGGAGGGCCTGGGAGGGTCCCCCGAAAAGAGGACTTGGTGCTGGAGCTGGAGGTGGCTGCAACCGATGTCCAGCAGACTTACAGGGTGGTTGCATATACCCCGAGGAAGGAACTCCATGAGGTAGAAAGCTTGACTGTTTAGTCCACTGGTTTGATGGGAGAGGTGGTCTCATCACATGACCAAGGGTATGAGGGTGGTGAGAGGGTCCTGGCCCCAGGTGAGGCTTCTCATCTGACCCCAAACGTCCTGAGTTTGTAACACCATGGTTCCCATTCCAAACAGCAGGGTGTACTCGATTCAGGTACTTATATGAATGATAAATATGACCAGGAGGAATTTCTGAGCTTTCAGGGAAGTCTGGGGGTCGGGCTGATGTTCCACCATGCCTAGAAGGAATAAATCCTGCCTGGAATGGAGCTGGTGGATATATGTTTCCATCTTGACTGGGACAATTCATCTGCCCAAGCTGCAAGGAGGGGGGATGTGATCCCATACTGGAAAGGTGAGTCAGGCCCCCACACATCTTCTCTTTAGAAGCACTGAGTCGGGTTCCGCGGTGGTTACTTATGCCAATGGGAGGCTGGCAACAGAAAAGGTAAGAAACATCATTAATCAGTAACAGAACAAGACAGAAAAATGCTTCACCTACTGCAACAGGTTTTTCAGTAGAGGAGAGGCTGAATTATATAATGAGAGAAGAGACCGTGTCTCAATCATGCCTGCAAATCCTTCCCAGCTGTCTTTTGGCAGACTGCTTACCTGTACAGCAAAGGGTGGGTGCTGCAAGGCATCTCCTGGGGGTACCTCTGGGACTCGAGAGGAGCCATATAAGTTGGTGGGATCTGATCCTTGAAGAGAGCCAAATGTTCCTGGTGCTGCTGTCTGCTGGAGGCAGTAAAGCAGAAGAGGAAAGATAGTCATCAAGGAGAGCAAAGGATTCCCTAAGAATTGATACTGATGTAACCCTGCTGCTAGGAATAGCGCCAATCTTAAAGTTCCTTCTCTCGCCAGGAAAAAAAAAAAAAAAAGAAGAAGAAGAAAAAAATCACCTTTCCCCACCACAAGTGGAACCATTTTCAACATTCTAGATCCAACTACATCTCATAATAATAATAATACTCACTTACTCACTCACTCACTCACTCACTCATTTATACATTTTAGAGATAGGGTTTCCTGAAGCCAGACTGGTCTCAAACTTGCTGTGTAGCAGACAGAGGATAACTTTGAACTTCTGGTACTGCTGTCTCCATCCATCTCTTAAGTGCTAGAAAGACGCTTAACCTAGTAGGACAGACTTTTCAGCAGAGAAGAAGTTGAGTTAAAATTTAACATGGGAAAAGCCCTCGCTTGGTGCACACATTACAGGTTCACACCATCATATCCATTATTATGCTGTGCTGGGGATCAACCACAAGATTTCATGCATGCTAGGCAAGCATTCTACCAACTGGGCTACAGCCCCAGTTCCTCACAATGAAACTGAAATGTTTCAGACTCAAATTCAGTCTTGTAGAGCAGCCCGCAATACAGGTAAGAATCAGGCCTTTCTGATCCCAAGTTTTGTCCCACTTGGAGAATACATGATTCAAAGGACTAAGAGAAAAGAGGGTCTAAATGACCAAGGGGGATAGGGTATATATGAGAAAAAGTCTTATTTGTGGTGTAAAGACAGGAAGATCAGGAGTTCAAGGTCAGCCTTAGTCTCCATTACAATAGCAAGACCCTGTCTCCAAGACCAAAATAAACCATCTATGGCAGCGGTTCTCAACCTGTGTTGCGACCCCAGAGGTGTCAAATGACCCCTTTTAGAAGGGTCACATATCAGATATCCTGCACATCAGATGGCTACATCATGACTCATAACAATACAAAAATTAGTTATATGGTAGCAATGAAAATAATTTTATGGTTTGGGGTCACAACATGATGAACTGTATTAAATGGTTGCAGCATTAAGAAGGTTGAGAACCACTGGTTTATACTTATATGAAGACCATACAAGTTACTAGCCCTGCGATTTCTATAGTGACTGGCTTGGAGACAATACTATGGAAGGTAAGTTTTTTCTTACCATCTGGTTTAAAGGGGGTGCCTGGCTAGGCACCCTGCCACAGTGTGGGGGGCGGGAAAAGCCTTGGCCATTTGATGTGCCCACCTCTGGAGGGAGCTGTACAGAGCTGCTGCTCTGACCATCCCTTGAGGAGGCAGCTCGGCGTGCAGGGGGCAATGATTTTCCTCCATTCTCCACCGGTGGTTGTTTCCTGCTGGGCCCTTCTGAGTCTCTAGAGCGGGTCCAAACATGGCTTCCACTACTTCGACCAGCTCGACTCCTTCTTTTTTCCCGTTTTTCATCCTCTCTGACCCAAAATTCCTCATCCGTGTCTCCATCTTCACCAGGGAAATGCTTTGTCATGGCCCGATGGAAACACCGCTCCAAATTATCAGACATCTTGGTATACTCTAGAAGGCAGACACAAGGACTGATCTCCAGGTACATATTTTACTAGATATAAAAGATAATTATTGACAATAATAATGAAAGCTGCTGTGCTAAAGTCTGATTTTATTTTACCTCTGGAGAATATTATACCGTAAACTATGGACACAAAGATGAGGATTTAGTTTCTGCTTAAGTATTCTGCTCAATGCTGAAGATGTGTAACATAAAGGTGACTCTAGTACATTACCTCAAATAAGCAAAAATTTAATTCTTTTAGGCCAAGTTACTAAAATTACTAAATATTATAATTGGACTTTGATTTTTAGGCTACAGTATTTGGGTTGAAAGACAAACAGCACCAAGTTTCAGGATCATTAGAAAGCTATGATGCCATTTTTCAAAATGATTTAAGAGCGGGAGCCCAGGGATGCAGCTCAGTGGTAGACTGCTTACTGAGCATTCAGGAAGCATTAGACTCCATCTCCTGTACAAACAAAATAGCATGAGTTCAATCTTGTCTGAAGCCAAGAGACCAGACATCTGCTAGACTCTGTTTATCCAGAAGGCTGGATCATTCCCTGGTTTACAAAACTCGAATAACACATCCCCTGGCTTTTAGTATACATTCTGTTAGTAGTCTGAAGGCAAAATATGAAACCCAGCAAAAAGGCCGTCACAACCTACCACTACTGTCCCCATTGTATTTTCGACAATTCCTGAACATGGTCTTCATGTCATTTACAAATTCCTCCTTGGTACAATATAAACCTGCATTTAATTTCTTCTCCATGCTTGAAATATCCATGGGGATCTAAAATAGGACATAATACTTTAATTAAAACATGCTATAAAAGGCCAGTGGCGCACGCCTTCATCCCAGCACTTGGGAGGCAGAGGAAGTGGATCTCAGCCTGGTCTACAAAGTGAGGTTCAGGATAGCCAGGACTGTAACAAAGAAACCTGGTCTCAAAAAAACAAAACAAAGAAAGAAACAAACAAACAAAAAACATGCTCGAAAGGACACAGTGGCTATAATTCCAGTACTGAAAGTCAGAAGTGACACAAGTTTTAAGATAGTCTGTGCTACATACTGAATTCCAGGCCAGCCTTGGTAACAGAGTGAAACCTTGTCTTAAAACAAGAAAAAAACAAGAAGTTACACATCACCCCTAGGAGGAAAAGGAATCCTGGCATTTTAACTTCTCAAAAACTTGGTATAACTGAGAGTATTGGCACATATGTTTAATCCCACCACCTAGGAGGCAGAGGCAGACAAACCTTTCAGAGTTTGAAGCTAGCCTGGTCTACATAGTGAATTTCAAACCAGCCAAAAAGTCATAATACTGTCTTAAAATGAAACTAATCCAAATCCAACAAAAAGTTGTATATGTGTGTATCCCAAATTTAAGGAGGATATAAAAGCAAGAGAGAAAATAAAACAAAACAAAATTTAAAAACCCCAATAATGTTTTAGTTTGGATATGAATTGACCTCACAGATCTTTGAGTTTAAATCTTCCAAGCTATGCTTGGTTGTCTAGGCTGTGGAAGCTTTAGGAGTTGGGCCTAGTTAGAGGGATTGGGGCACTGTGGGCTGGTTCTTAGGAATTATACCCTGCACAAGTTCAGGCCAGAAGTTCATGAACAAGCTTGTAGCACCATGGACAGAGCTGCTTGCTACCCTGGATTCTACACTTTGAACTGTGAGCCAAAAGAGGTACTTGGTCACTATGATAGAAAATGATTAATATAAAACCCAAGCAAGATACACATGCTTAAGTACAATTTAAAAGATACCTTAATAATCTGGTAATAGTTTGGGGCATAAGATTCATCCACAGGTTCCAAGAAAGGCCAGGAATCCTTGTGAGCCTTTACCACATCTAGAACTGAAAGTGAAAGAGAATATAACTGACATTTTCCCATGAAAAGATGTTTATCAGAAATACAAAAGCCGAGAACAGTAACTAACCTTTATACATGGCAGTGAAATCGTCGTCCAGCTCAAAGCTGTGAACCACAAACAAGACATTAGTAAACTCTGGCCACCAAACAGATTGAGAAGAGTGTTATTTACTCCCCATAGGTAGCCTAACACTGATACCACTCACTGGAAAAAACATGAGGATGGCAATGGTGATCATAGCAAAAAAGAGGACTATTAGATTCTCCATTTATAAAATGAAGAATTGGCCTAAATTATCCATAACTTTATTAGGACTATTTAACTAACCAGAATTTTTATATTTATTTTTATGAAGACAGGCTTTTGTTATATAGTACAGACTGACTCAAATTTCAGATTCTGCAACAGTCTCTACAGAAATGCATTACTTGGTGGTGGCGCACGCCTTTAATCCCAGCACTTGGGAGGCAGAGGCAGGCGGATCTCTGTGAGTTCGAGACCAGCCTGGTCTACAAGAGCTAGTTCCAGGACAGGCTCCAAAACCACAGAGAAACCCTGTCTCGAAAAACCAAAAATAAATAAATAAATAAATAAATAAATAAATAAATATAAATAAATAAATAAAAATAAAAAAATGCATTACCACTCCTGGTGGGAAACAACTATTTTCTTTTTCTTGAGATAGACCCTATCTGTCCCACTACGCCCTATCTAGACCAGGCAGGCCAGGAACTCAAGAGATCTACCAAATGGTGGAATTAAAAGCATGCACCACCACACCCAGCTGATTGGTTTTCCCTTTTGAACCTTGCATCCCCCCTGCCATGGTTCTATTCTGGCCAATGTTCACCCTAGAAACTGCTGAGTATTGTTATGTAACACTATACCTGGCAAAAAGTAAATATCTTAAACAGTAAAATGCTCACTGAACATGGTGGTGCACTTTTGCAATCCTGGCACTGGGAAAGCTGAGGCAGCAGGATGGCAAGTTCGAGTCTTGAATCCTAAATTTGAGCTGTAGCTTAGTGCTACAGCACTTCCCTAGCATGCCTAAAGTCCTGGGGGTTCAATTTCCAGCACCGTGAAACAGAGCCATGCAAGATGGTCTACATACTTCTAAGAAGCAATTCCCCATTAATAATACATTCTGGTGTTATTGAAAAGTTGGGGTAATAAGAGCTTTGTTAAAATGATTAGGGAAGAGATTCATTAAAGGGTGTGTGTAATTGGGGGGGGGGGGGGGAGACACAGACAGCAAGACAGCATAATTTACTATTCTCTTCCTTCCTCTCCCTCCGTCTCTCTCTGTAATTGCCCTAGCTGTCCTGTGAAACTCACTCTGTAGACGGCATGCCTTTGCCTCTAGAGTGCTGGGACAGAAGTATGTGCCACCACACCCAGAACCATGCTTTCTTAACAGTAAAATAGTGAAGGCCACCGCCCCCTACATAGGCCTGTTACAAGAAATAAACGAGATAGTAATTTTATAAAACTAAGAATTTTGTTTTGTTTTGTTATTGAGATAAGGTTTCTCTGTGTCTTCGTGAGTGAGTGTAGGTACACTCAGAGGTCAGAACCACCTGGAGCTAAAGGTCACTCCAGTGACCCTGAAAGATAATAAGTGAGCCATTTCCAGAAATACTTTTTAAAAATTACACTATTTTATTGTATACATGCACCACATGAGTGCATTATAGTCCATGTGTGGGGGTCAGAGGACAATCTGCCACCTCTCCCTCCACTATGTGGATCCCAAGGATCCAACTCAGGTCATCAGGCTTAGCAGCAAGTGCTTTCAGAGAGAAGTACTTGCTGGTGTGGCCAGCTGCTACTGTTGCTACTACTACTAAATACTCACAGGTCCTTGGTCTTCTTCTCTTCCCTCATAGGAGAATTCGGGTCCAAATGGGAAAGTTCTGGGGGTAGCTCCTTGCCTTGAGCCAACAGCCATGCCCGCTCTTCCCTGAGCTTTCTTCTCTTAGCTCGATCTATACCCGAGACACAGACACAGGACCAAGTGAACATTTGCACTTGCTGCTCTGTTGGCCTTCTGTGAGACCACCATCAGTTATACACACAGTAACCTCATTCATTTTATTCAAGTGCCATATCAGACAGAGTTTGTGATAATCCCAGTTAAATGTCACTTTAATCATTAAACTCTTTTTACTCTTTTTTTTTTTTTTGGAGGCAGGGTTTCATGTACCAGGTTAGCCTCAACCTTACTATATAGCCAACACATGAACTCTTGATTTTCCTACCTGATCCTTCCAAGTGCTAGGATCATATGAATCCATGTTCTTTTTCTGATCACAAAATACTCCTAATTATATAGATTTGTTTATAATTTCCACAAATTCTTCTGTTCATTACCATTAACCTAGATCAGTAACTGGAACAGAATGGGCGCATAAAAAATGTCACTCTGTAGGTAGAACCATCTCAGCTGGATGTGGTTATTCAGACCTCTAATCAGAGTGTATAGGAGGCTGAGTAGGGCTACCACAAATTCTAGGTCAATCTGGGTCACATAATGAGACCATGTCAGAGGAGGGAGGGAGGAAAAGGGAGAGACAGAGATCACAGGAAGAGGGAGCAAGAAAGGGAGAAGGAAACACAGAGAGAAAAGCATTGGTATACATTAAAAAAGGTTCAATTGATAAATACTATCTATGAAGAGAACTAAAGTTGTTATTTTTTGCTTTTAAAACTATAGACAAAGCCGGGCGGTGGTGGCGCACGCCTTTAATCCCAGCACTTGGGAGGCAGAGGCAGGTGCAACTCTGTGGGTTTGAGACCAGCCTGGTCTACAAGAGCTAGTTCCAGGACAGGCTCCAAAACCAGAGAAACCCTGTCTCGAAAAAACAAAACAAAACAAAACAAAACTATAGACAAGTACTTGAAAGGCAAAGGCGGGTGGATCTCTGAATTCAAGGCCAGTTTGGTCTACATTATAATGTCCATACCAGCTATGGCTATGTAGAGAGAGCCTGCCTGAAACAAACGAACAAAAAATTGACAAAAGAAAAATGTTACTACACTGAAACTGGAGTTTGAATCAAAGCAAACTACCTGGCACTAGTAAGATAACAGCACCATTCCAACGTACCATATGAAAGAAAATCTGGGACAGAGATGTAGTTCAGTTGGCAGATTGCTTGCCCAGCATGTAGACAAGTCCTGGGCGCACATTACCACATAATCTGGAAGTGGTGCTGCCCATCTGCAATTTTAGCACTTGGGAAGTAGAGGCAGAAAAGCTGTTCAACATGAGTTCAGTGTCAGCCTGAGCTACATGCAACCCTGTAGCTCAACAAAATAAAACAAAAACTCCAAACATAAGCCTTTTTAAAGCACATACCATTGCACCTGTGAAAGCAATTGCCAATGTCTTAGAACCTGTTTAAAATTATATATATATATATATATACACACACACACACACACACGCGCGCGCGCGCGCGCGCGCGCGCACACACAGTAGAAATCTAAATAAAAAGCAAGGTACTAAAAAGTATACTGAGAATGACAAGGGAGTTTGGACAGAATGTAAAGGGAGCAAGACTAAATTCAGTTGAGTAAACGTAACAGAAGACAGTTTACAAGACATTTAAGAAGAAATGTCCAGAAGCAATGGAGGTAAAGGATGATCTGGCCTTGGCTACAAAGTGGGTTGTTCTCACTCTTGAGCCCCTACATACCTTCCACTGCCTTGACCTTTTCCTCCAATTCCCGCTTTCTCTCCTCTTTCAACATCTGCTCTTGCTCCTTCTTCTGCACTGCCAGTAGGAGCTGCCGTTCTTCCTCTTCCTCCTTGCGCTTCTGTTTTTCTATCTTGGTGAGCATGGGAGTCTCCTGTTAGGAGCCAACAAGTGCAAAGGGGTCAGCTGAAAATACAGAGTAGTTCTTCCTTGAGTCAAGAGATAGTTTACTGAATTCAACAGATACCAGTAGTCACAGGAATTAGACCACAGGAGAAGACCATAGAGACTTTTTATTATATGTGATGTGTTATCAATGTACAAAAATACACGAGTATTAAAACATATAGGAGGTACAAACCAGAACCATAGATAGCACTGATTATGAGTTTGAAGCTACTTAGCCCAGGCCACAAAAAGACCCTTTCTTCACAGGAGGCAGAGGCAGAGGGAGAAGCAGGCAGATCTCTGAGTTCAAGAGGACATAAGGAGGAACAGGGAGAGGACATAAGAACCTTCTACAGCCAATTCTTTCAAGTTTTATACTGTGGAAGATTCACAAGTGGTTTTTGTACAGGGGAACAAAGATGAATACAGATGGCTATTTATAGATTTAACATAACACTGCTTTTGATTAAATTCTTAATTCATTCCCCTTCTTTTGTGGTTCCGAAAACTAGTTTGAATATTTACATTTACTTTATTTTGTGTGTTATGTCTATGTGAGTGTATGCTTGTTTGCAAGAGAGACCTCAGAAACTTTGGAGCCTTTCCTCGAACTAGCTTGGGTACAGCAGGCTGGCCTCGAACTTAGAGATCTGCCTGCCTCTGCATCCCAAGTGCTGGGATTAAAGGCCTGAGCCACCACTGCCCAGCCCTGAACTGGGAATCTTACAGTAGAGCAGAAAGTGCTCTAACTAGTGAGCCATCTGTCTGGCTCCCTTGAAAAGATTTAGATTCACACTAGATTCAGAATTTGGACAAGGCTTTGTCTAGGGACTGAGTGGACTTTTCAATGGCTGTGTTATTAATTTTGCTTGAAATTGAGTTTCATACAGTCTAGGATGAAGGCCCAGAACTCCTGGTCCTCCTGCCACCACCTCCCAAGTGTTAGGTTAATAGCATGTCACCACACTTGGCTGGAGGTCCTATCATCTAGCTATCTATTTATTCATTGTGTGTGTGAGGGTACCCTTGTGCCATAGTGAGGATGTGATAGGAAAACTTACAGCAGTTGATTATCTCCCTTAACCTTACGGATCTCAGGGATTGAAATCAGTTCGTGGTGGCAAATGCCTTTACTCAATGAACCATCTTGCGAATCCAATGTAATTTTCTATGAAAAGAGTTCACAAGGTAGAAATCTGGTCCACACAACACTCAATTGATAAAGAATAAATGAAGTGTTTTAGAATCTTTTCAAAAAATAATAGTAGGCAACATGTCTACTGAGTGCTGGCAAGGGCAAGTCTTTGGATATTGAATCTCTGGTCACTACCTCCTACATAAATAACTGTCAGTCAGTGTGTGTTAGTTTTTTGCTAGTGTGACAGAAGCCAGTCATCTGGGAAGTGAGGAGCTTACTTAAGGGACTGTCTCTACCACATGGTCTGTAGGCAAGTCTATGGAGTGTTTTCTTGAGTAGTAATTGGTGTAGGAGGGACCAGTTCATTGTGAGCAGTACCACCCGAGATGGTAATCCTAGGTTGTATAAGAAACCAAGCCGATGGTAGTGGCAGTACATGCACTCAGGAGATAGAGGCAGGCGAATCTCCGATCTCAAGGCCAGCCTGTTCTATAGAGTGAGTTCCAGGACAGCCAGGGCCACACAGAGAAACCCTGCCTAAAAAAACGAAAACAACTAAATGGGTCATGGGAAGCAAGCCAGTAAGGAGCACTTTTCCATGGCCTCTATTTCAGTTCCTGCCTAGAGTTCCTGATTTTCTTTATGATGGACTATAGGTTGTAAGTAAGAAATAATACACTGACCCTCCCCGAATTGCTTTTGGCCATGATGTTTATCCCAGCAATAGAAAGCAAACTAGAACAGCCAGGCACCTTTCCTGAATTTCACCAGCAACTCCTACATTGCCAGCCTATTTCTGTGGTTCTTATTTTAACTTCCTGGTAACATCACCCAGCTGACAACATGATTGACCATCAATCACCTTACCTTCAAGACAATGCTGTATGTAATACATCAGTGACTGACTACCCATGGCTAGGAAAGGGAGGAAAACAGAGCCTGATTCAAAGGTACTTACTATTTCATTCAAAATGAACAGTTGCTTGCTTATTATATGCAAGGTAATCCCCAACATCACATAAAGTGGTCCCAGTGGTGCAGAGCTATAACTCCAGCACTCAGGAGGCAGAAGGAAGGCTTCAAAGGTCATCCTCAAGTACACAGTTTGAGACCAGTCTGAGCTGCCTGGGATTCTATTAATGAATAAACAATCTTGCTACAAAGCCTGACAACCTGAGTTCAATTCAGAAAAGCCCACACAGTAGAAAGAGAAAATGGACTCCCGTAAGTTGTTCTCTGATCTCTCACCAGTACTGTGACACATGAACACCTCTACCCCCAAACACAATTAAAAAAACCTAAAAAAATTTATTTCTATTAATAAAAAAGAGGAATATTAAGTCACTAAAGATTGGATCTAACAGACAAACACAGAAACTCCCAAATCTCCTTTCTCCACTTCCAAAATGGTAGGATTAGGCCAGCTGAGTTAGGGAGTAGGGAACAGGTAGTGCTAGTAAAGTGAACTGATACCATCTTCAAACCTAAACTTGGAAGTTCTCCAATCTTTTTTGACAAATGAGGTAGAACTACACCTGCCTTTGCTTGCTTGCTTTTGCCTGACTATGTCTTCGAGTTATAATCCTCTCCCCTTCTAATTTTGATCAGAGTCTCACAGCATAGCCCTGGCTAACCTGGGACTCACCTCGTAGATCATGGCACCCTCTAACCTTCAATGAGCATCCTGCTTCTGCCTCTGATGTCAGAATTAGAAGATAAACCACGCCTAGCAGAATTCTACGTCTATTTTTAATTCCCTTTGTTCTCAGATCACTTTATCTGGAATCACTTCCACACGTAGCACTTCCATAATGGGCGAAAACCCATCTTTGTCTCACACTTTCCTAGGCCTGTTTCCTCATGTCAATCTCTCCTGCTAATTCATAGATATGACATCTGAAAAACACATCTAGGGGCAGGGGCGGGGGTCCATGCTCTGCAACAAGTCTGTCTGCAAATCTCTGTGCTTATTTTCAGGATGCTTCCATTCTGAAGCAAAACATGTGCTAATGAGACAACCTAAGCAAAGGATTTACTTTTTCTTTCTTCCTGTTAGGACTCGTGAATGTTTGCCGACATGTATGTGCATGCACCTCATGTCTGTGAAAGACAGGACATCATATTCCTCCAGAACTGGAACTGATACGTGAGTGCTGGAAGCCAAAATCAGGTCCTTTAAAATCCAAATTCTCTGGAAGAACAGTCAGTTCTCTTAACTGCTGAGGACTCACGGCTGTTTGAACTATTAAAGAAGCCGTGGCTGGCAAGATATTTCATCAGGTACCGTTAAGTCTGATGGAAACAAACAGATCAAAGTTAAATGAAAAAAAGAGCAGATACAACAAGCAAAAAGAAGTCCAAAATACTAGCCATCGTGTGTATGTATGAGTTTCATATTGTCTCGCTATGGCTGATGTGGAACTCTCTATGTAGGCCAGACTGGCTTCAACTTCATAGATATCTGCCTCCCAGATGCTGGGATTATTAAAAGGTTTGTCAACATGCTTGATTAAAAAGATTTTATTTATGTGTATGTGTCTCTGTATAGGTATGCATATATGCATTGCAGGTGACCATGGAAGCCAGAGAGGACATCAGATTCCCTCGAGTTGGATAGGTTGGTTGTGAGCCACCCAATGTGGATTCTGGAAACTAAACTCTGATCTTAGCCATATAGCCATCTCTCCAATGTTCAGACTGTCTCACACTGCAAATATTTCTCCTGTAAAAGAGGTCAGCTGGGTGTGGTAGCACATAAGTAGATTAACAGCAGGAGGCTGAGGCAGGAAAATCATGGGATGTTCAAGTCCACCCTGGGCTGTATTTTGAGTTCCAGAATAAAAAGAGACAAGTTAAGTGTCAGCTGCAAATACTATAGTGATTGGTATTTAAATGCCTTACCGGTAGAAACCTACCAGAATCATGAAGGTATCTTAATGAGATGCTAAAAAGGAACCACTGTGAAATCCTCCAAAGGATTATTAACTAGAAGCTCTAGCTGAAGTACTGCCCATGCTCTGTACCCCAAGGCAAGGGTCCAAATTCACACTTATCCTTGCCACCAGGAGCACACTTGAGACCACACCATCACAAACTGCTCCCAAGACACCCACTAAAGCCTGGAGTAGGAGTGTGGCTGTCTCCCTTCTCTAAACCTAAGCATCTTGTATACCTGCGAGGTATTTTCTTCTTTTTTTTTTTTTCTAGACAGGGTTTCTCTGTCTAACAGTCTCAGAACTATCTGTGGTAGACCAAGCTGGCTTTCAAATGCCTGCCTATGCTTCCCAAGTACTGGGATTAAAGGTGTATACCACCATTGCCCAACTTTGTTTCTGCATTCATCTTATGTAGTCCAGGAAAGACAGAGTCAGTCACCAGCCAGATGTAGAGGAAGCAAAGTAATGCCTCAATGAGAAAAGGTAGCAAGCCATATGGCTAAATATAGACAAGAATTATGGGCTAATTTAAGTTGTAAAAGCTAATTAATAATAAGCCTAAGCTAACAAGCCAAACAGTTTACAATTAATATTAAGTCTCTGTTTCTTTGGGACTGAACAGCTTTAGGACAGAAACTTTCGTCTACAAAAGCCAATTGACAAAAATAACTCAGCAGCCCTAATCCTGGCTTATCAGGGTCTCTGAACTGGGTATTTTCCACAGAAACCACAACTAAGACTCTTTGAGGAGATTAACACTGGGTGGTTGGTGCCTGCATACACAAAAAGCATTAAAAGATAAAGGATTTTCTGCTGTGGAAACAAAAGTCACTTTACCTAGACAGCAGGTGTCACAACACAAACTACACAGGATAGTATTCTTTACTTCACACTAAGCAACAGAATTAAAAATCACCCCTATAAAGAAGGTGGCCAAAAGTTAGACTTCTTTTTGCAGTCACAAAGAGGGTTTACTGGAGTTCAGACTGCCAGGTAACTGGAGGTATGAATTAGGGCATGGAGGAAACTCTGAAGCAGTTAAAGGCAATAAAGTAGTAGAGAGAACCTACAAGGTAGGAGGAGATGAGAGCTACTCAGAACCAAACTGTGAACTAGCAACAAAAGTCAACTCCCAAGCTAAGGACCATCACGGAGGAGGTGGCAAGCCAGTAACTACAGAATTGTGAACTAGAAAGTATGTGACGGTTAAAAAAGGAGCCACATGTGGTGGCGTGCACCTCTTAGCACTCAGGTGTCTAAGGCAAAGATGTGAGTTTGAACAAGTTTGGCTTGCATAAGCAATAGTTTGCTTCAAACAAATAAGAGTTCTAAAAAAATTAATGAATGTTCCTTTATTATTTATGTGAGGGAGGCAGAGTTGAGAGAATCTCACTCCAAGTTGACCTTAAATTTATGATCATCCTGAACTTGCTTTCCATAGCAGAAGGACTATCGGCTTATGCTATTATGTTTTGCTTAAATAAAAAAGCCAATAAAAATTTGCAAAGAGCGCAAGATCTCTGCTATAGATAGCACCATGTTAACATTTCCGTTTAAGAGTCACAAAAATGTAACTGCAAGGCAAAAGAGAATGCCCCAACTTCACAAGCTAGTATAAGACAGTGACAGCAAACAACTGCGATCTGAGGTCAAGTTTTGTGTGACTACTAACCTCACTACAAACGCAAAGGCACACAGTGCCAAGACAGAGATAAAGAGAGGGGGTGAGAATATGACAGCTAGCCTTTGAGAAGACAAAGAAGACCGGCAACATTCTATAAAAGCCTTTTGGAAAGATGCAGCGGGCCTCCTGTCACCTTCCTGGAGCAGAGATAGGTAAAGAGAAACAGTTTTCCTAAGCCTTCCCCTCTTTCATGGCACTCTCCTACTTACACTTTGCTCACACATGCATACTCACCAGCCAGCTCAGTGAATAAAAAGTACACTTGTCATTGCCCAGAGTTCGGCACTAGCTCAAACCACAAGCATCTAATGCATGCTACACAGTCAAAACCACAAACAAACCTGGAAAAACCTTCATAGTTTTTAATGTAGTTGTTGCCCCCAACTTTAGTTCCCACCTACTGCAGGCTCTCCTCCAGTGACAGAATGTCCTGCCCTGCATTTTAGGAGACAAAGTGACCAACTAGACTCTGGGCAAGCACTTCCCTCTAAAGCAGCTGATCTTGCCTGAGCCAGCTTCATCTAACAACAGCTTCATTTTCCTTCCTACTGCTCAAGTGTGAGAGCTGAGAGACTGCAGAAATTAGCTGCCTACATTTTCCCACAATATATTACAATATGCCAGCAATATCCAAATACACACGGATCTTTGACCATACTATTCCATTTTCTGCCTTGGAACATTTGTTTATAGTGTTCCTGTTGTGAGGAAAGTCCTGGGCTTCATTCAGTTCCACATCACTGCCCATCCATCGTAATTCTAGCCATCCCACACTCGAAGGCCAAACATCCCTGTCTGCCTAAATGGCCCTTTATTTGCCTGGATTAAATTTTTTCCATCTTTGCACTTATGAACTTCTTGTACCTATCACAGAATTTATTCACATCTATGTTAGACTGAATATGTGCTTGTCACCCAGGAATGTCTTAAGAAAAAAGAGCCTCGAAAAACAAACAAAAAAAAAAAAAGAAAGAAAGAAAAAAGAATGTCACCCATTCTTCTATTTCTCTATCTTCTTTTCCCAGAAAAGCTCTATACATATAAGAATCTTGAAGCGAGGCAGTGGTAGCACATGACTTTAATCCCAGTACTAAGGAGATAGAGGGAGGCAGAGATCTCTTAAGAGTACAAGGAGAGTCTGTTTACAGAGTTGAGTTCCAGGACAGTCAAGGAGAAATCTTGTCTCAAAACAAAACAACAACAATAAAAAATCTTCAATGAACATTTGAGATTAAGATTTTTTTTAAAGGCAAGGGATAATAAGTAGGACAAAAGTATGTGAAATGAAATGGAACTACCCTCTTCAAATATACTTTTTTACTCTCAGACACACTCACCTCTAGCTTGATGGATTTGATGGACAGGTGGTCAGACATAAACCTATGTTGCAACTCTGGCTTTGTGCGTTGTGGACGTTTTCCCTACAGTTAGAAGTAAGGAAAAGAAATGAAAAGATAGATTAGGGTGTTCTCAGCTACTGCTGCTGCCGCTGCCACAGCCACCAGCAGAATGGCCGCTGAGGCACACCAGTAACTAATTTATCTAACAGGGGGTCAAAGGTGTCTATCTTTTAGGATGATAAGGAAAAACAACAATTCACCTGGATAAGGTATTAGGTATATTATCTTAACAAGTAACAATTAAAAAAGCCACTGACAACCAAGTATTTCCTAACATCAGCATGGATTCTGAATTTCAGGCCAGCCCGGGTACAAAACCACACACTGTCTCAAAAAATCCCAAACAACATCACCAATAACCCCCCCAAACAAATAAAGACAAAAAGTCTCTTCAAACGACAAAGGGAAAACTGTATTTTATCACATTCACCTAAGTGAATGGTTCTGAAAGAGGCTCCAGGAGCAACTAAAATCAGATGGTTCTTTAAAAGGCAGGCAGGAGATGGCATACTCAGAGGCTATAGGTACCTGCTATCAAGCCTGACTATCTAAGTTTGATCCTTGAGATGCATAAGGTGCACTGTGGAACACACACAAACAAAATAAAACACAATAAAAACCTTTAACGTAAGTTCTAGGTATTCGTGTGTGTGTGTGTGTGTGTGTGTGTGTGTGTGAGAGAGAGAGAGAGAGGGGGGGGGGGAGGGAGGGAGGTGTGTGGAGATGTGGCTTTGGTCCCAGAAATGTTTAATACAAAGTCTTAACTTCTTGAAGAATGAGTAAATTAAGGGAGGATAGAAGACAGCAAACCTCTTACCAATAACAAGGACTGGTTCAGACAGTTTAGACACAATACAAATGAAGCTTTTCTGTTGGGGATAAGCAGTTCCCAGAGGAAAATACAATCACAAGTACCAAAGATATCATGATCCTTTATCCTCTTCAAGTACTTCTTTGAAGTCCATAGACATACCTCACCAAGCATCTCCTCTTTAAAGCTCACAATTCTAGTAGGAGATATTTCTTACATTTATGACACGGCACCAGAACAGCAATGTTTCCAAAGGAAATCTTGCAAATTTACCATGCAAATATCACAAGAAGCCAAAACCAGTTTCACTCCAGTTTTGTCACATTAGATGGAAGAGGGATAAGCTATTCTTGATACAGAGGGTGACCGTTGATTCCTGCAGATATTACTACCAGCTTTCCTGATTCAAGTGTATGAAAAGAAACCTGACTACCTTCTGCGCCTCTCAAATGCTAAGTGTTAAGATAAAACTTGTGCATCACCACAACCATCTACTATCAGCTTTTGTGTAGACAATGTACATACATTTAAATCTTAAGTTCCTTATGTTTATTTATATGCCACCATCCACCAACAAGCACTTTCAGTAGTCTACACCTATTTCTATTTTGGTTTTTTAAAGTGAATATGTATCAAATGTTTAATTGATCTAAATAAAAAAAAAACCTGGGGATGAGGGTACACGACAAACATAACATTAGAAAAACTGGACAATTTTAAGTCAATGTCAGGAATCAGGATACATCCCTGGTCTAGCCATGAAGCTGGATAATTACCCAGCAACAATGTAGAAGGTAAATATTGGTAGTTACATTTTTGCTAGACAAAAATAATTTACAATTCTATAAAATCTATGTCTCAATAGATGTCTATAGGTTAGCATGAAATCTAATCCTTCAAATTAAAATTAAATTATAGTATGAATTCTGTATGTTCTTCAAGTTAATCTTTAACTATTCGGTTACTGACCATGTGCTTTATTAACAATTTGATTATGTTTGTGTAAAATTCTATTATAGCATAGTATTTCTAAGCAGAAGTTTTTTGTTTTGTTTTGTTCTTTGACATAGGGTTTCTCTTGTAACAAACAGCCTTGGCGGTCCTGGAACTCAATCTATAGTACAGGCTGGCCGGGCTGAACTCACAGAGATCCACCTGTCTCTACCTCCCAAGTGCTGGGATTAAAGGCATGGACTGCCTGACGAGTAACAATAACTTAGTCCACATTAGATGTTTCAGGAAGGTGTCACAAATTATAAGTTTGGATTGGAACAAATTACAAATATTCTAAGAGCATTTGTTTATGCAGTAGCATGGGCTTATAAAGTAATTATAAAATTTACTGATCATTACAACACCATATAGCCCTGACATGATAGGAAGATCACATTATTGCAAATAAATAGGTCAGACACTATATAAACAGACACGACAGCTGATCCACGTGCAGACTTTTCTTCTTTCTGTTCTTACTAGTATCACTTTCAGTAGTTTGGACTATTATTAACAATATACCAATAATAGTTGATTCTTTCTGTTTTTGCTATGAAGTCCAGGATGGCTTATACTTCCTAGCAATCCTCTAGTCTTAGCCTCGAGTGATGGGATTAGGCCGGTATCATCACACCCTGGCTTAATTTTAATAAAAAAGAATAAAAGCTTATCTTTTATATATTCAAGGCAGGTTTTACACCTTCCCACTTTAAAAAAGATTTATTATGTTTCAAAATGTATATGTATGTCTGCATGGTTTTATGTACACCAGTTATCTAAGTATCTATGGAAGCCTGAGGGTATCAGAGCCTGTAGAATTGGAGTTATAGGTGATTATGAGCTGTCTGATATAAGTGTGGGGAAGTGAATCTGGGACCTCTTATTAGAACAGCAAACTCGGGATTCTCCTGCCTCTGAGTCCTTCGACAAATACTACTGGCGTGCACCACCACTGCTGGGTGGTGGAGGCGCAAACCTTTAATTCCAGCACAGGGGAGAAAGCTGCAAAAGGATCTCTGAATTAGAAGCTAGCCTGGTCTGCAGAATGAGTCTCCAAAGTTACAGAGAGATATGCTGTCTTGAACAAAAAGAGCAAACTCAGGTTGGCCAGTGGTGGCACATGCCTTTAATCCCATCACTTGGGAGACAGGTGGATCTCTGTGAGTTCCAGGCCAGCCTGGTCTACAGACTGAGTTCCAGGAAAGCCAGGGCTGCTATTACACAGAGAAACTGTCTTAAAAAACCAAACAACAACAACAAAAAGGAACAGCAAACGCTATTAACCACCGAGACCTCTCTCCAGTCCCTCTCCCCAAACTATTAAAGTTTACTATCCCATCCCCTAAGATTTATCAAATCTTCTAACTCTCTACCTGGATTTGTTAGGAAATACAAATGTTGCTGTGTAAGGTAGCACACACCTTTGAGTTTCAGGCCAGTCAAGGATACATAAAGAGACCCATTCTCAAAAAACAAACAAACAAACAAAAAAAAAAGCCCCAAATCTCCAAAAACCAAAAGTTAAGATTTAGCTTCCAACAACCTATTATAAACAATGGTAGGAATGAATGGATTCTTTTAATTCTTTTAAATTAATTTAATTTAATGAATGGAAACTTTTATAGTTTCTGTGTAAAGATAGTAGTTTACTTTGCTATCAGAAAACTGAAATTGTGATGAAGAGATAACATGCACCTACTACAGGTTCACCAGATTACAGCAACTAAATAAAAATGTAAAGAGCCAGTTCTTTCACAAGACTACCACTCAGGATTTAGCACGTCCTTTACACATTGTTTAAGTTGTAAATTTGTGTCATGTTCTTTAGTAATGATAAATCTTTCAATTTTCACATATGACAAATACTTTTCACTGTTATCTTTGGACTAGGATGGGATGTGGTAAATTAATAGCCAGATTATTGTTGAAGCATTCAGCTTTAATTGTCTCATAGCTCACTGACTCTAGGGGGACCTTACTAGGAGAATAGTCTTTGACTCGTTCATAAATAAACTTTCATCTGGTCCTCAAGTTCTGACTTTTCAGCAAATGTAATCTCTCAAACACACTTGAGAATCAAAAGCGCTGTTGCATTAAGCCCCATTCAACATTTTCCTTTAAAAAAACTTGGCTGGCATCTTGCTGTGTAGATTAGGTTGTCCATGACTTCTGAAATCCTGCCCATCAAGCAAGTGCTGAGAATTAGTTGAATTTTGAAGAAAGAAGTTTTATTTTTAAGATTACTATTGTAAGTGTATGAGATTGTGCACATCCATGTAGAGGTCACAGGATGACTTTCAAGAGTTATTTTTTCTCCTTCCACAGTGGGTTCCAAGATTTGAATTATGGTTGCTAGGTTTGTGTAGTAAGTGTTTTTATCCACTGAGATATCTAAATAGCCCAATAAATTAAAGTTTTTGACATTGTATCTTACTACTTATTATACATGCATGTGATTATGAGAACCAGGCTTAGGGCATTCAACTTTAATCCCGCCATACAATAGGTATAGGCAGGATAATCTATTTATGGCCAGACTGTCTACATAGTGAATTCCAGGCCAGGCAGGGTTATATAACAAGACTATCTCAAACAAAATCCCCTAAACAGGGGTTAGAGACGGCTCAACACTTAAAAGCACTGGCTACTCAATCTTCCAGGCGACCCAGGTTCAATCCCTAGCACTCACACGTTGGCTACAATTATGAGTAACTATAGTTGCAGGGAACTCAACACCCTCTTTTAACTGCCATGGGCACTACACACACATGACTTGCAAGCATAAATACAGGCAAAAACATCTACTCTCACATAAAAATAAAGACATAATCAGAAAAGCTGTGATTAGCAACATGGGATTCTCACAAAGTATGTCCTATTAATAGATGGAATTGGGGCTCACCTGATATTCCAACCCTCTTTCAATAATTCTATGTAATTCTGTCTCAACTATATACACCTTGGTGTGTGTGCATGTGCGCACGCGCTGGACTATGCAGAAGGTTAATTGAGGTTGTGACTCTCTGGTAATATAATAGCTCTTGAAACAAAAAGCAGTATAGACTATTTATTTTTTAAAGATTTATTTATTATGTATACAGTGTTCTGGGCACCAGATTTCATTTTAGATGGGTGTGAGCCATCACGCAGTTCAGCACTGCTAGGTAGAAAGAAGGTACATTCCCCCCCTCCCCCCCATTGGATACTAAACCCAGAGCTATATGTAGCAAGTTATGTAAACATTCTACCACTAAGTTGTAACTTTGGCCTTTTTTGGTTGTTTTTGCTTCTCTGTGTAGCCTTGGCTGGTCTCAAACTCCCAAGAGATCTGTCTGCCTCTGCACCTGAGTGCAGGGCCTTGGTTGGCCTGAGACTCACTTTGTAGACCAGAATAGGATAAAAGGCATAAGTCCAGAAAACACTGCAGAAGAGGGAGCAGAAAGATTTTTAAGCCAGAGGATCAGGGAGTTTGCTGTGAGACTGTGTCTCCTAGTAAAGGCAGACGCAATAGCCACAAAGTCTTACTAATACAGCTCTGAAAACATTCATACAAGCTAACACTGTATGGTCTGAGTGGGTTATATTTAGGAATGTAAATGAGAAAAAAAGAGGCCATAAATTTGAAGAACAGGGAGGGTTTATGGGAGTGTTTGGAGAAAAAAAAGGGAAGGGAGAAATGTTACAACAATTATAATCTGAACAAAGACATGTTCTACCATGCCTGACTAGCCCAAATTTTTTTTTAAAGAAACACAACCTATATAAAGAGGCTCATAAAAACAGTATGCTGAACATAACTCAAGTAATAAATGACAAGCACAGCAAAGGCTACTATATAGACACCTCTACAGCTTTGAGAAAAATCATTTCTGCTAGAAGAACTATTAAATGAAGGTCCTCTGAGAGTGCTTCCAATACACTGACTCATGTGTTTAAAATTATGGTAGTTGTGCCAAACGGGGGTGGCACACAACTTTAAACCTAGCACTAGGGAGGCAGAGGCAGGTGGATTTCTGTTAGTCTGAGGCAGTCTGACTTACAGAGCAAGTTCCAGGACTGGCTCTGTAACTACTGGGAAACTCTGTCTTAAAAAACCAAAACCAAAAACATGGTAATTATATACTGTTTCTCCTTCACTATATACAATATAGATAAACGAGACAAAATATGTAGTCCAGGATGGCTTTAAACTCAGCAGTTTTTCTGCCTCGGAGACCCAATACTGGAATCACAGAAAGAAGTCACTATACTAGTTCTGTCAACTATTTTATATAGAATCATTTCTGCTTTAGAGGAAAATTTTTATTATGCTGGGAACTGGCTCAGAATGCAATGATTTTCAACTTAGCAAAACCACATGGTGGCTCACAGCCATCTATAATGGGATCTGATGCCCTCTTCTAGCATTGTGTACATGCAGATATAGTACCACATACATAAAATAAATTAAAATCTTAAAAAAGAATTTGAAAATACATGCATACTAACAGTTTTGTGATTTTTTTGATATAGAGTATGTATAAGTCTAAGATTACTGATAAACTTGCTAGTACTATTTATTTTCAGTGACGTTTAGAAATTTTTTTGAGACAGATTTCTCTGTATAGTTATGGAACTCACTCTGTAGAACAGGCTGGCTTTGAACTCACAGAAGATCCACCTGCCTCTGTCTCCCAAGTGCTGGGACTAGAAGTGTGTGTAACCACCCCCTGGCTATTTCAAATATATTAATCCAGACAGGCTGTAAACCTGCAGGATAGCAGGTATAATTTCAAAGGATCTGAAGGGTGGGAATGTATTGTCTAGAATGGTTAGCAGTGGATTTTAATAACTAATCTAGCCAGCTAAAACTGGCAGGAAGTCCTACTTAACATGCATTTTGACCCCATTTGCATTTTATAGTCTTTTTATTCTTGTTTGTTAGAGACTGAGGTCACAGCTCAGCGAGGAAAACACTTGTCTAGCATGCTTAGTTACCAGGATTTCCCCCATTTTGAAAAAACAAACTTGTTGCTCTTATATTATACTGTAGAAGGTCTTCCAAATTAGCATTATTAACATTACAGTCTAGGTTTAGCTTAGGCTTGATGGATTTTAATATATTTTTATTTGATATGGAGGTATCTCTCATATGCCAATATTAAGAAGCTGACATGGGGACTACTGAAAAACATTGTGTTTCATTATATCAGGAATGGGGAACGAAGTCTAAGCACTGAAAAGGAGTGAACACAAAGCCCACTCCTAATGTGGGATTCCCATGTGTGTGCAGCGAATATATCTTAATATCATTGGTTAATAAAGACACTATTTTGGCCAATGGTGAGTCAGAATAGAACTAGGCGGGAAAACTAAACTGAATGCTGAGAGAAAGAAAGCAAGAGTCTAAAAGGTGGTGCCATGTAGCTGCCAGAGGAGAAAGACACGAGCCACCATACAAGGCTCGTGGTAAAATATAAAATAAGAGAAATGGGTTAATTTAGATTAGAGCTAGCTTGCAATATGCCTAAGTGATTGGCCAAGCCGTGTTGTAATAATATAGTTTATGTGTAATTATTTCATGTCTGGGCGGCAGGGAATGAACAAGCAGTCTCTGCCTACATACTCCTAACCAAGACACTATTGGCAACTAATACCTGCTGGAAAGGTAGGAGGGAAGTGATCAGTTTTTACCAGCTGGGTGTCCCTAGGTATACCAATCCCTACCTGAAGAGCCATGGCAGTTAATGGTTGCTGGAGGAGTCATATTCAATAGCAGTGTAGCCAATGATAAGTTGCTATTGCTCAATTAAATAAACCTTCACTCGAGTAAGTAACTCTAATTAATTAAGGCTAGCATCAAGCTCACAATCCCCCTGCTTACCCTCTTGAGCACTAAGGCGGCTAAGTGTCATCAGAACTACTTCAAGAAGGACTTAAAAACAAAATGTGTATGGGGGGAGGGGGGGATATGCAGGTGCCCATGGAGTTCAGGAGGTATTGGATCCTGAGGAGCTGGAATAACATTTGGCAGCTCCGAGTCACCTAACATGGGTGATGGGAAGTGAACTTGAGCTTTCTACAAGAGCAGCATGCACTTTTAACCCATGAGCCATCTCTCCTACCTGAAGTGAAATTTTTGAACAACATCTACAGGGGGGAGAAAAAAAGAGGCAGAAAAATGTTTGAAAATGCCATGTATAAGGAATGTGTGTGTAGATCGAAATACATAGTCATAAAGTTATGCCTTAAAATTATCATTTTTGTTGGGAGCAGGGGAGAGCCAAATCAGATCACATTTCCTGGTGAAAGCTGGTTCCAGTCGTTAAGAGGTCATTCTAAGGACTGGTGGGTGATAGGCGTGGGACTTGCAGAGATAAGGAGAACATCATAAACAACCTTCAGGATAAGGACAGCAAGCAGGTGAATGAGCTGCAATATTAACATCAGTTCTACCAGGAATAGTGAGATCCGATAAGCAGGGAGGTTCTACCTTCTGGGCAATCATGTTGCAGATTTCAGGCAGGAAGTCCTCGCTGAGGAGCTTGTAGAGTTGCCGCTCTCGAAGAGAGGTCCTCTCTCGGAAGCTCTCAGTGACCTGTCTCCATTCTTCTTCTGTTTGACAGAGGAGCCACCAGGTACCTTGGCCTGGCCCTCGGGACCCTGCAAAGAAAAATGTTGACCTCAATATGTTGCCCATGAAAGTGTAGAACTCCAGAGATCTATGAAGCTCCTTATGCTTCAGCCCACAACCATTGGGATAATAGGCACTTTACACAATGTCTGCATGATAATCTATCCCTCCCCCCCCCCCCCCCCCGCTTTTTTAAAGAGTCTCGTTATAGACTAGCCTAGCCTAAAACTCAGAGATCACCTATCTCTGCTTCCCAAGTGCTAGGATTGTGTATACTTTTAATTTTCCTATTACCGTAATTTTTTGTAAGTAGACAAATACCTGCAAAAACAAAACTATATTGTGATTTAAAGAAAAATTTAACATTCTAGAAATGTTTAAAAATGTATTATTTTTCTAGAAAAATGGTTTGGAAACTGAGGCTGTAGAAATGTATTCCTTATCTCATTCATGATACTGCAAAATGGCTATTTCCCTCCAAATTTAAAGAATTTGGATCACATAATTAAAATCTCATCAGAGTCCAGGCATGTTGCATTCCTTTAACCCCAGCGGGGGGGGGGGGGGGGGGGGGCACAGAGGCAAGAGGATCTTTGTGAGTTCAAGGTCAGCCTGGTCTATAGTTCCAGGATAGCCAGGGCTACACATAGAGAAAGCTTGTCTCGGAAAACCAAAAATAGAAAAAGAAAAAAATAAAAATCTAAGTATGTACGTATGTGTATATATGTATGTAGGCAACATGCATACAATACTTTTCAGGTCACTGATATTAAAAGGCCATTCTCCAGGAAGGTACTTGCCCATCCATATGTTTTTGTCTTTAGTATACTGTGCCAGGTAACAGGACAAAACTAGTTCTAATCTGAGATGGAGGATAGGGAAAAAAATGAAATAGGGAGCAAAAAAAATTGGTGACTGCTGTAATCATCCTAACTACTGAATGATTAGAAAAGTGTTATCGCTGTGTATGTTTAGGAATTCTATTGACTTGAAAGCAACAAAGATCATTATTACCATTTCTTGTCAGTAGGTCAGATGCCAAAGCGTTTTCTTCCTGCTTTTCACTGAAACACAGGAAAAAGAAAAAGTAGTTAAAACAATACACTGACATGCCCAAATTGTTTGGAATTTCTTGCAGTTATGGATCCAGTTAGCACAATAGTGGCTGGGGATGGGGTGAGCTCTCAAAATTCAAAGTTAGGAAGACTAATTCTAATGAGAAATAAAAGTAGAATGTAGGGTATGCTTGCTGTAGGAAACCTGAGTATCAAGATTATGGCATCAGTTCCAAGGAAGAAATGGTACTGTCGAAATTCTCTGACTCATGGTACACTAAGGAGGACATGTTGCTAACTTACCCTGATCTAAGGAAGATGCAAGAAAATGGGCTAAAAAGTTGAACTTCCTCTGCTCAAGGTCTGTCACTTACCAGCAGAGGGTAGCATGAGCCTACGTGTACCAATGCAATGGTTCTAAGTTTCCAACAATAAAGTAGGTACACAACAGTTTTCTGTTTATACAAGAGCATGTGGACTTCTCAGAGAAGGAAACCCAAAAACAGATTTTGAATATATACATCACAGGACATTTTCCACAAAATCACTAAGCAAGAAATAGGCAGTTGTAATCTACTTAAATTTAACTGATCTACTTATTAACCATAAGATTTCTTAAGAATCCTTTCCATAACCAATCTCTTTACCAAAGCCTTGCTATGTAGTCCAAACTAGCTTGGAACTGAGGATCCTCCTGACTCAGCCTTTGTTGTTAGGGGAGAAGAAAATTTAAAAATAAAAATAAGTAAATCACCAAAAATGCCATTGCCACTGCAAACCTATCTAAATTAAGTAGAATATTTACTCTTATGAGAGGAGGGTATTATGTTACTAGAAATGTTAAGGGCCCAAGTTTGATCCTCAGTACCTACATTACTTTTTTAAAAAGCAAAGCTTGTGTGCTGGCTAGTTTTAAGTCAACTTGACATACGCTAGGGAACCTCAATTAAGAAAATGCCACTATAGGATCCAGCTGTACAGCATTTTCTCAATTAGCGATCAGTGGAAGAGGGTGGTGCCATCCCTGGGCTGGAGGTCCTGGCTTCTAGAACAAAGCAGGCTAAGCAAGCCAGTAAGCAGCACCTCTACTTGTTCTCTGCCTCTGGGTTTCTGACCTGTTTAAGTTCCTGTTCAATGATAGACTAGAAAGTGTAAGCTGAATAAACTCTATTGCTCCCAACTTGCTTTGGGGGTACAGTGTCTCATCACAGCAACAGAAATCCTAAGACAGCCAACATGTAATCCCAGTGCTAGCAATGTAAGCCAAAATCAAGGAAGTAACGAACATCAAGCTCTGGCATCCATGTTTGCACAACTCCCTCCACATACGCATAAACAAATTAATGATATAAAAAAAAAGCAATGATATATGAAGTTTCCCAGATGCAAATGATGTATTTTTCTTTCCTAAAATTAAATATAAAATTAAAGATTCAAAAAGTTTTACATTTTATCTTTTCTTCATTGTACTTGTTCAGATACCTTAATTACTACAGTGAAAGAATTAAGCCCTAATCCTAGAATGATATATAACAACTCTACTAAAAGTTCAACTAGTCAATGTTTGGTAGGAGTAGGCTAGGAAAAGGAACCCCTTGTGGATTCTATCACTGTACTATATCCATAGCCTAAAATAATCATGCAATTAAACTGCCCCACTTTCTTATGATATAACAACAAATTTTAAAATGTATGTTAAAATGCAGTCTTCATTTTCTTGTACTGCCATGTGCTGTCCTGTTCAGTTTAATCCTCACTAAATGAGCAGTTATCATCCAATACAGTAAGAGGCTCAGGGAGGCAGGTAACTTGATAGATGTCATGCAAGACAGGGTTGCTTGACAATTTCATGGACTCTGGCTCAGGTCTCTCTAAGCAATTATCTATGTATGCCCTGTTCATGCACAAGTAAAGACAGAGTGTGAGGTGAAATTAAGGTTCCTTCCAGCATGAGAGCTGTGAACACAAATCAATGCGATTTCTTACCTTGATATAATTTCCTCTTGTACTTTTTTCCGTTTTGGAGGTCTTCCTCTTCTTTTGCCTGTTTTTCCAGGAACATTCGAGACATTTTTTTGTCTTTCACTTTCCCTAAGAAACAATATCATTAAATAGAAATGTTCTAGAGTATTACTTAAAACTAATATAATTTTAGCATTTATTAGTAATCACAGTATTCTCTGCCACAAGGTAACGAAAATGGATTATGCAAAATAGCAGAAACAGGGAATAGACAGCTTGATTTTTCTTATATAGGGATAACAAAATGTGAAATCATGAAACACTGACATTCTATTAAAATGTAACATCTAACCCCTTGCTAAGAGCAAGCACTGCTCACAGCAGTAAAAAAGTCTCAATAAAACCAGAGCTTAGCATCATTCTAGGCACCATGATAATGAGAAGAAATGATGGTGGACCGTGAAGTTTCTAAGGCAGATTGCCAATCCTAATAAAAAAAGGAGTACTCAAAGCCTGCAGCATTAAACAGTCTGTGGAACTGTATAGGTGCTTATTGGGAATCTTTTATGTATACCTATAGTGGGACATTTGTTTAACTATGAAAAGACGTGTTGCCGTTTTACTTACCTGACTAAGGTACCTGATTGGTCTAATAAAAAGCTGAATGGCCACAGTGAGTGGGGAGGTATAGGCGGAGTTCTGGGCAGGGAGAGAGTAAGTAGGAGGAGGAATTTATGCTCAGCAGACAGGGAGAAGGCAGGAAAAGAAGGACATACATAATGAAAGAAAGGCATAAAGCCCCAACAGAAAACACAGATGAATAGAAACTGATTAAATTAAAAGAGCTAGTGGGACCTAAGCTAAGTCCAAGCATCTTTATTTGGAAGCTGACTGGCAGTCAAAACAAAATGCCAAATTCCAAGTATTTTATTAGAAAAAAAAAGTGCTATATAATTCTGATACATTAACTTTCACAGTCTTCAACCCCCAGACAGATACAGGGATTCTCTACATAACAGCTCTGGCTATCCTCAAACTCACACTATAGACCAGGGTTGTCCTCAAACTCAGAGATCTGCCTGCCTCTGCCTTGCAAGTGCTCAGATTAAAGGCGTGTGCCACCATCCTGGCCTTTTTCATAGCATTCTCGAGCGGTTCTCACAGCCATTATGTTAGAGACAGTACCTGCTCAAGGAGAGTTCTCCATTGGACCTTCCTTGTACTGGGTCTTCTTTGTACATCCGTGTCCCATAGAAGTACCAGTAGAGTGCACCTGAATTGTCTTCACCCAAAGGCTCCACTCGGAGACTATCCGCATCCAGACCCTGGGGAGAACAGGAAAATAGATTTGTAAAATCAAAGAACATAAAACAGGAGAAAACTAAAATGACAATTCAAACTTGACACTTAGAGACACCTCATATTTTAACATCCTAATATGCTGTACATAATTTTCTAATAGGATAGATGAAATACAGACAGAATAGGAGGGTACCTTCTTTGATAAACAAGATGAGGAAATTCTAGGTGCTCCCTATAACCAACCACGGCTCCCATGCACAAAAATAGGAATCAAAAAGAATTGTACAACTCTTTGGCTTAGAGTTGCTATTTTATGTGTACACATGTAAAAGGAATGACTGTCATACTAAATACAATCGGAACCCTCAAAGCAGTTCTTACTCAAAGACCTCAGTTTTTACTCTCAACAATCCTCCTGCCTCAGCCTCTCCAATACTGGTATTACAGAGGCACAACAGGCGTAAGTTTCTACCATACTTATATGCATACTTCTAATCAGATGTTCTGAAGGCTTTGTTTTATGTGGTTTTGCACTATACTAAACGCTAAAAAAATAAAGAAATGCATGTGTCTGTGTGTGCCACATATGTGCAAGTAGCTATGGAGAACAAAGAATTCCCTAAAGCTGGAATTGTGAGCTCTTCCTCTGGAAGAGTGGTGAGAGCTTTTAACCGCTGAGACATCTCTCTACACAACAAAACACCTTCTGAATTACGGCTGGGACCCAGGAAAGCAATTTCCAATGAATTACAGGGAATGATCTGTACTGGTCTTCCCACTGTTAATGTTAATTGCTCAGCAGGGACTGCACTAAGTTATATGACTTTTATGTGTCTGTGCACAGGGCTCAACTGAGAACTGCTATATTTAACCAAACGATTGAGTAGGATTGGAAATTGCCCTCCCAAGCCTTGGTGGAACAGTCTCAGGAGGCAGAGTCAGGCAGATCTCTGAGTTTCAGGCCAACCTGATCTTCAAAGCAGATCCAGGACAGCCAGGGCTGTTACACAGAGAAACCCTGTCTCAAAAAAGTGTGTGTGTGTGTGGGGGGGGGGGGGGGGGGGGGGGGAGGATATAGCTTCAAGTCTCTGGAGCTTGACTGTTAATTACAGAAGAAAAAAAAAATCAGTGGCAAATTCAGTCCTGTTTTGTGTGAAGACAAGATTACAAGTAGGTTTTCCTGTATGAGATAATGCTTGGGAAATGAAAAGAAACAAATGTAAAAGTTATCTATCTGTATGGCTTTCATGCATGTCTATAAAAGTCATTATCAATTAAGAGCATGAAGACTACTATGAATAAGTTAAACTCCTGCTTCTCAATACTGTTAGATTTCAGGCTCAAAATGCTGGCTTCTTACTGCTCTAGAGAAGGAGCTTGCTAGAAAGGTACCTTGAGAAGATCAAAGACATCATCTGCATCTAGCCGGTAATCACATAGGCGATGGAGGATCTCTACCCGAGTGCGCAGGGGAAGGTCTTGAAAACTGGCTTCTCTCAGAGGGTTGGGCTTTCCTTCTTCAAGCTCCCAACGATAGTTAATGATATCTTCCAGGTAGCTGTGGAATGTCTGAGGCCTAATCAAATGGCCCCAAATTCACAAATACATTAATATAAAACAGAAGATGGGGAGAGGAAAGTTGACAATTTATAAAATAAAATAGCAGTTAAAAAAGGACATTAAAGCTTTTGACTGAAATTATGCATTAGACTATATCACTTCATCAAATCACAAAGATAAACTGAATCAAAAGAATATTTTTGTCAGGTGGTGCATGTCTTTAAACACAGAACTTGGGAGGCAGAGACAGATCTCTGTGAGTTGGAGGTCAACCTGGTCTGCAAATCAAGTTCCAGGAGAGTCAGAGCTGTTACATGAAAAACCCTGGGGGTGGGGTGGGAATTTTCACATAATGGGTTATCTTACTTTAACTAAGATGAAAAACTCTGCTTAATCGTGTAAAATCCAAAGTAGAGACAACAGCCGGGCGGTGGTGGCGCACGCCTTTAATCCCAGCACTCGGGAGGCAGAGGCAGGCGGTTCTCTGTGAGTTCGAGACCAGCCTGTTCTACAAGAGCTAGTTCCAGGATAGGCTCCAAAACCACAGAGAAACCCTGTCTCGAAAAACAAAACAAAACAAAAAAAGAACAGATGCCTGGCTCCTGGCCAAACTCCTCTCCATCATTCCCTCCTGTGGTTGATCTTGGAGATTTGGAGTTGGCCTTTAACCTTTTCCTGCCTTGCCTTTGCCCCTTTTTTGCTGCTGTTTCTAATCTGTTGGATGAGTTTGTTTGGAAGGTTTCTTTTCCTATTGTTATTGGGATTTTTGTTTTGTTTTATTTTGTTCTGAGACAAGTTTTCAATAGCCCAGACTGTCTTTTTTTTTTTTTGGATTTTCGAGACAAAAACAGTCTACACAAATGCATTTACTGATAATACAGGTTAAGATGCAAAGATATAGAAAAGCATCTTAATATATCACTTTAATGTACATACACAATCACACTATATACTAATTTTTTTTCTTTTAAAAAATTAGTTTATGCTGGGCATGATGGTACATGTCTTTAATCCCAGCACTTGGCAGGAAGAGGCAGATGGTTCTCTGTGAGTTTTAGGACAGACTGGGCTTATATTGAGACCAGGTTACAAAAACACAACAAAGAAAAATCAGACAAAAACAGACAAAACAAACCCCAAACACTGTGTGGTCACCACAGAACACCTTGTGGAAGTTGGTTCTACCCTTCTACCACAAGGAACCTGGGGCTCCCAATTAGGTCATCATGGACCTGTCATTCTTTACATTCATCTTGTATGTTGTCTGGCGTGGTCTTAGTTCCTGGTCTCATGTGGTCCTATAGCCACTGCTTCCTAAGTATCTGGAGTACAGGTGTACGCCACTGTAACTGGGTAATCTAAGCTTTGAACACGGGTATTCCACACAAAAAAAAAATTAATATTTTACTACACAACAACAGTTTAGAGAACTGAAGGAATTGTCAGTTAATACTTATGAGCCAGGTATCAGAGGCAAGGTTTTAAAAAAAACGCCTATGTAGAAATTAAGAAAGCAGTTACTGTTGAAGGTTATGTGAACAAACTGTGTAAAGATGTGTAGCTGCTTTACCTTGCCTGCCTAAGGCACGTTCTGATTGGTTTAATAGAGAGCTGAATGATCAACAGCTGGGCAGGAGAAAATAGGTTGGCCTTCCAGTGACAGAGAGGAACTCTGGGTGGATTTGCCAGCGAGACACATGGAAAATTGGAATAGAGGAGAGGTAAAAAGTCACATCCAGAACATTAATTAATAGAAATGGGTTAATTTAAGCTGTAAGAGGTAGTGGGATAAGCCTAAACTAAGGTCAAACATTCATAATTAATAAGAAGTCTCTGGGGCTGGCAGTCCCCAAAAAATAGTCTGGGAAGGTCATTTGTGAATCTGTTGTTTCATTCATTATTCAATAAAGAAAACTGCTTGGTCTGATAGGTCAGAAAATTAGGTAGGTGGAGTAGACAGAACAGAATCCTGGGAAGAAGGGAAGTAAGCCAGGCGCCATGCCTCTCCTCTCTGGTCAGAGGCCATGGAGCCAGCGGCAAGGTCAGACATGCTGAATCTTTCCTGGTAAAGGTGCTACACAGATTATTAGAAATGGGTTAAGCAAGATATGAGAGTTAGCCAAGAAGAGGCTAGATATAATGGGCCAGGCAGTGTTTATATGAATACAGTTTGTGTGTTGTTATTTCGGGGCATAAGCTAGCCAGGCGGCTGGAGCCGGGTGACAGGAATACTGCCCGCAGCTCCTTCTACACTCATGTTGTAGTGATTCCAAATCATAAAATTCTTTTTGTTGCTACTTCACAGCTGTAATTTTGGTACTATTGTGAATCATAATGAAAATATCTTACATGTAACCTCTGTGAACAAGTTGTTTGAGTCCCAAAGGCGTAGTGACCCACTGGCCTATGTGGTGAGCTACAGGTCAGTCTAGGCTACAGAGAAATACACTGTTTTCTTTTTTCTTTCTTTTTAGTTAGGGGATTCATAATAAAATATAGAAAACTACAACTAATTAAGTGAAAGAAGCCCAATACTAAAAAATATTGCATGATTTCACTATTAGGAATTACCCCAAGGTCAGAAGTATAGCTCATTAGTTAAGAGCACTGCTCTTCCAGAGGACCTGAGTTCAATTCCTAGCACCTACATAAGGCAGCTAATAAACTGCCTGTAACTCCAGCTTGAAGGGAATCTAACACCTCTGATCTCTTCAAGCACCAGCACATATGCACACATATAATACTAAAGATAAAAGATAAAAAAGTTTTTTTTAAGTACTTCGAATAGCCAAATGTATTGTGATTGATAAACAAGCAAAACAGTGTTGCTGACAGAGAATTGAGGGTGGGGGAAGTAAAAAGTGACCACTAGTGATTTAGACTAGTTTAGGAGATAAAAATAAGCATTCTAAAAGAGTATGGTAGGCTTCATAGTTAGTTTTATATTATACTCCAAATTAATGACTTATACATTCAAGCTCAGAAGAACAAACGGAAAAATAACGAAATAAAAGTGGAAAGAGCTCAGAAGATGGCTTAGTGGATCAAGAGTTTTCTGTGCAGGTATGAGAACCAGTTTTGGACCCTTAACACCTACAATAAAAACTGGGTAGACTGCTATTATCTGTGAGTTTAGCAATAGGAGAGGAGTGTGGAGGCAGGCAGATCCCGGGACTGCAACACTGGCAACAAATTCCAACTTTAGAGAGACTCTGTCTCAAGTGAGCCAGGTGGTGGTGCATACCTTTAATCCCAGCACTCGAGAGGAAGAAGCAAGCAGATCTCTGTGAGTTTGAGGTCAGTCTGGTCTAGAGTGAGTTCCAGCACATGCTACAAAGTTACACAGAGCTCTGGAGCTCAAAAAACTCAAAAAGTCCTTGCTATACATACAAGAAAATCAGAGACTATATTCCCAGCACCCACCAAATGAGTCTGGCAGGCAGCCTATGTTTCTACCATGTGGGGGCAGAGAGAGGACTGAGCAAGTTGGCTAATTAGATTACATAAATCACTGAGTTCTAAGTTCAAATGAGGGGTTCTGCCACAATATGTAAGGTTAAGGGCTATGAAAGAAGGCTCCTGACAACAACCTTGGGCCTCAACGTATACGTGAACACACATACATACATAAATGTATAAACAATATACACACATATACATTTTTAAAAGTGAAGAATTGAGGAAGACAACTTGATCTCAACTTCTTGTCTACACATGCCTACAGAGTACACCTGCACACTGCACATTAGTTTTACACACACACACACACACTAAAATAATGATTAAAGGAAAGAGCAATTATGCCATACAGATAAAGGGAGCCTAAGAAAAATGAATAGGGTTGGAGGTATAGCTCAGTGGTACAGCAATTGCCTAATGTGTGAGAGTCCCTAGGTTTGAACCATGACTCTGAACAAGGACACAGCAGATTAACTGATTTTTAGAGTTAGATACCAATATATCGAGTTTAAATTTTTATATGGATTGAGCCAACAAGATGGTTCATTGGGCAAAGTTGCTTGCAGTCAAGCCAGAAAACATGTGTTTGAAGTCCCATGACCCATATGGTAAAAGGAGAGAAAGAACCAACTACTTCAAGTTGTTCTCTGACCTCCATTCACAAGAGCTCACAGGCACACACACAATAAATTTTTTAGAATTATGTGAAAGTACAATGGTTTGGGTTTTTTTGGTTTTTTTTTTTTTTTTTTTTTTTTTTTTTTTTTTTTTGGTTTTTCAAGACAGGGTTTCTCTGTAGCTTTGGTGCCTGTCCCAGAACTAGCTCTTGTAGACCAGGCTGGTCTCGAACTCCCAGAGATCCGCCTGCCTCTGCCTCCCGAGTGCTGGGATTATAGGCAAAGGCGTGCGCCAGCACTGGTGAAAGTACAATGGTAAAAACAAACCCTCCCCCACTTTTTTGATGGAATCTTAATTTGCTTAGTTTGGGCTTGCCCCAAACTTACTATATAGCCAAGGATGATCTTGATCCTCCTGTCTTCACTTTGATCTTAATTGTTACAATTGCAGGCCTATGATGCCATGTCCCATTTATGTATTATTGCTGGGGATGAGAGATTTGCATATCCTAGGCAAGCAGTCTACCAACTAAGGCAAACCTCCAACTCTTAAAAAATGAAAGAATAAGGGAGAGAGAGATAGCTTAACAGTTAAGAGCACTGGCTGCTCTTCCAGAAGACCCAAGTCCGATACCTAACACCTCATGGCAGCTCACAAATGGCTGTAACCACAGTCCTAGAGGATTCAATGCTCTTATTCTTTCATAAAACCTGCACACATGTGGTACATAGACTTAACATGCTCATCAATCATCCACATATATAGGTATGAGTGTTCTATTTCCACGTAAGACTTCATTATCAGAAGAGGACATCAGATCACACTATAGATGGTTTTGAACCACCATATAGTTGCTGGAAATGGAACTCAGGTCCTCTGGAAGAGCAGCTAGTGCTCTTAACCACTGAGCCATCTCTCCATCTCCACCTATACACATTT